ATACAATCTAATGGTTTTCTGTGTAGTATTTTGTAGATACCAGTTATATTAGTAGTGTTCTTGAGATGTGTCCTTGTTGATTCTTTGGTCTATGTGGTCTGTTAAGAAAGAGATTTGTTTTTCCTTTTTCTGTTTTGGCATTACTAGAGTTTGTTGGACTCAGTGATTCCTGCTGGCTAGGCAGGTTCTCTACTATTTGAACTACATCCCTAGTCTGAGAAAGTGACATTAGAGTCTCTGGATATGATTGTGAATTTGTCTGTGAATTTTCCAGTTTTTGTTTGTTTTGCTTATTTTCTCGTCTGTTACTAGATGTATGTGTAGCTTTGTTATACATTCTTTGCAAATTGGTCCATTTATTATTTTATAAGACTGTTTTCAAACCTTTTTTGCCTTATTAATCTAGCTATGCAGCCTTTTTGTGGAGGGAGCTGGCACAGGGTCCCATACATTGCTCAAGCTGGCCCAGCACTCCTGGGCTCCAGTGATCTTCTTGACTCAGTCTTCTAAGTAGCTGGGACTACAAGTGTATACAATATTATTGTTATTAATTTTTTCTTCAGCAATGTGGTTTGAACCTAGTGCTTTACTTGCTAGGCAAGTGTGCTGCCAACTGAACTTATATCATGTCTCTATTCATCTTTGTTAGGCTTACTCTGCCTGGTTTATAATTTTCTAGTCTGCCTGCCTACCTACCTACCTTACCCATCTCTATCATGGGACTGGAGTTTGAGCTCAGGGTTTCGTGCTTACAAAGCAAACACTCTACTGCTTGAATTATATCTGTTGTCCATTTTGCTCTGATTACTTTTGGAGATGGGGGTCTCTTTTGAAGTATTTGCCTAGACTGAAACTGTGATCCTTCCAGTCTCAGGATTGGAAGCTAGGATTACAGCGTGATTTACCCAGTGCTTGGGTTCAATCCTTTTATTTTTGTGATTAAATTACACAGTTGATTTCTGGCCTTTAATTAGGATGCTTAATCCATTTTTGTTTAATGTGGAGGGTGGGGAGCTGTGGCAATAATGGAGTTTGAATTCAGGGCCTCATGCTTGGTAGCCAGACTACCACTTGAGCCACTCTACCAGCCCTTTTTTATGTTGGGTAGTTTCAAGATAGGGTCTCCACAAACTGTTTGCCTAGGCTGACTTCAAATCACTACCCTCCTGATCTCTGCCTCCAGACTAACTAGGATCACAGGCATGAGCCACTAGTGCCCTATAAATGTGTTTTTTGATAATGGGTGTTTTTCTAGTTGTTCATCTAGGTACACATAACAAGTTTTTAGTATACTCAGATTTTTGCAGCCATCACTACTAATTACCAAACATTTTTTATCACCCCAACAAGACACCTTACACCCACTAACAGTCACTCCTAATTACCCCCATTCCTCAATCTCTATTCTACTTGCTGTCTTTATAGGTTAGACTATTGTTGAAATGTCTTATAAGTGGACAAGTACAGTAACTATCGTTTTGCATTGGGCTTCTTTCATTTAGCATAATATTTTCATGTTGTTGCATATGTTGCTTCATTTCTTTTTTATCATCAAATAATACTCTATTTGCGAGACCCTATCTTGAAAATACTCAACACAAAAAAGGGCTGGCAGAGTAGCTGAAGTGGCAGAGTATATGCCTAGCAAGCATGAAGCCCTGAGTTAAAGCCCCTATACAGAAAAAGAAAAAGAAAATTATGCTGCTTTAAACATATATGTACAAGTTTTTGTTGAATGTGTGTTTTTATCTTTTTGGATATACTCTAGAAGTGGAATACTTACACTATATAGTAATCCTTTAATTAAAAAAAATTTGGGGGGCGACATGGTCTTGACATGTAGCTCAGGTTGACCTCAGACTCACTATATAGTCCAGGCTGGTTTCCAACTCAAGATTCTCCTGTCTCAGCCTCCTAAGTTCTGGGGTTATACTCCTGTGCTACCACGCCTGGCTAACTAACCCTTTAATTTGTTGTACAGTTGGCTAAAGTCTCCAAAGTAGCTGTACCATTTTACATTCCTGTCAGCAGTCCCCGTGTTACAACGAAGAGGTAATTGCAAACTGGTATCATTTCTTTTCTCACAGGATATTAAGTGATAATATTTTGTAGGATGAAAATATAGTGAGAAAATGGATCATTTAAGAGGATTTGGAGCTTTTGTCAGCCAACTGGGAATGTAGACCTTGCTGTATTCAGAACTTTCAGTTGGTTTGATCTTGCTAGCCTATTTAAATGATTTATTTCATTACAGTTCAGGATAATTTCATGAAGATGAGAGGTATCTAAGTCATTAAGAAAGGATTGCGCTGAGCAGAATGGATAAATAAGTCAGTGAGTGTTTTGTATAATGTAAACTCTAGAATTTAAGTCCAAGAGAGTAAAAAATGCATGCTTATGTGCATGCGCAGACACATGCAGATCGGTTTTGTTTTTTTAAAGCCACACAGTGGTAACACTGTCTTCTTCCTTAAAATAGTAAAATCTCAAAGTACATATGTACTTGTGCTCATTTTTCTCGGAGAAATCTTGATTGGATTCTTAAAAGCATTTATTTATGCCCTATAGAAAATAAGAACTGCTGGTAGAACTGGCTCAAGCAGCAAAAGTGCCTGCCTAGTAAGCATGAAGCCCTGACTTCAAATCCTAGTGCTGCCAAAAGGAAAATTAAGAACCAAACCACAAGGTAGAAAGGATCAACCTGATTTTTAGCTTCCTGTCAAATTACTCCTGGCTAGTACATTTGCTTTCTAAAGCTCCCCTCCCTCCTTTCCCTTTCCCCTTTTTCTCTCAATACCTTAGTAACCCCCTTTCATTTTGTAATGTTTAAAAGAAAGAGCTGGCCTGACACTTATGGCTCATGCCTGTAATCCTAGCTACTTGGGAGGCTGAGATCACAACAATTGCAGGTCAAAGCCAGTCAAAATAATCAGAGCAAAATGAACTGGAGGTGTAGCTCAGTAGTAGAGTGCCTACATCATACTTGAAGCCCTGAGTTTAAACTCCAGGTCCACCAAAAAAAAAAAGAAAAAAAAGAGCTGTGCATTTATATGAGAAAGTTTATCTGTATAAAAGAAACTTGAGTTATCCTGCATTGTCAACCCTTTTAGTCAAGGTGTTCTAGAAATGCTTGAGGGAGCAGTGCAAAATTAATGAAACTGAGTAGGATAATAGAGCTGTTGGAAAGAATGTCAGTCATGTCAGCTGGCTTCCAAACAGGTTGTAGATGCAGGAAATAACACTTTTCCATCTACAGTGTTTGTGTACTGATGTGGTTGTGCTTTCCTCACTACACATTAGAATGAGATAGGTTTCTAGCCTGGCACAGCCTGTCTGCTGCAGTATCTTCCAGTGAAGCCACCATTCTGGTGAAATGATCTCTTTATCACAATTATTTTTTCCCTGCAGGAAAAATGAACATCATTCTTTGGGCAACTGGGTATATACTAAGCATACTGGTCACTTCTGTAATCCCAGATGGTTGGGAGGTAGTATAAGGCCAATTTATGCAAAAAGTTAGCAGTACCCCCATTTCAACCAACAAGCTGGGTGTCATGGTACACACTTCTGGTTGCAGATATGATAGGTATAAGTAGGAGGATTACAGTCCAGGCTAGCCCCAGACCCCAACCTTTGCATGATAGACGAGCATTCTACTACTGACCTACATCCTTAGCCCTAGATATTCTTGAAATCACATGTTATTTAAAGAGATTTATTACAAAGGGGATACTGTTTTCTTCACCTTACAACCAAAAACCAAAATTTTGTAAAACCATCTTCTCTTTAATTTTTAGATTTTGCCTCACATTAGTCCACTTTTTACCATGGGCAGTTTCGACTTCCGTTTATCCAACCCCTCACTCCTGAAGGGAGCTTTCTAGGCAGGGGAGAGAGGCAGCTAGTGCAGCCCCTGGAAAGTTCAAGCAGATGTTAATGTGGCAGTGCCGTGGCACTGAATGTGTGCTGCAGTCTTAGCAAAGTTGAGGATGCTGTCATGCTGCATTTTATAAACTAGCATATATTTCCCCCAGTGAGGTGATAACAATACTATGGGAAAGAAGTTGCTTCTATTTTGGGGGTGGGAGGAGTAGCTAACTTTTTTTCCCACAAACATTTCCTATGACCTTTTCTCATCAACATGTTCCATGCCTCTTTTTAATGATACTGGCATCTCCTTTAGTCCTTTTGTTTCTTAGTAAGGAGCACAATTTCATAACAAGGATGCGGTAAATTGTATCTAAATTCTTCAACAGTGAAATACAGACTAAGTATCTAAAAAATAGCACTGTATTATGTGCAAGACATAATCAAATTGTGCAAAGACTAATGCAAGACTAATGAAAATTCAGGATTGCCAAATTCCAGTCAAGAAGACGTTTAAGTTGCCATTCTGTCTTAAATATTTTCTGTTGTGCACCTGTGTTCAGAATTTAGAACAACCAGTTGTGTGGGTGTGTGCCTATAGTCCCTAGCTGAGACTGAGGAGGAGTACCATATGAGCCAGGAATCGGAGACCAGCCTGAGCAACATAGACTGCCATGTCTTTTAGAAAGATAAGAAAAAAAGTAGAGTAGCGTATAATTGCACATAAGAATAGCTACTTGTATTCTGATGTTTTCGACCTTTGCATCTTAACCTGAATTTAGTCACACTATGACTTTTTTGTGCCATCTAAGTCATTGAACTGAATCATCTTAAGTCATGAACAATGTGAAGTCTCTTTAATAGTATGATCAAAGAGTGACCTGAATCTGCTATTTGTATTTTAAATTCAAACAAGCTACTCTATGAAAAACACTCTTGATAACATTTGCTTCTTTGGGATTTGATGAAATGCAACATCCATGTAGATAGTCTAATGCATAAAGCTTCAATGAAGACCTTTTGGATCCTCCCTGCTTTTCATAAATTTGCTGGCTGTCAAGCTATCAGTCTCTCCCTGCCCCATTTCTCTGTGGTATATTAATGTATTTTTGTGTTTCGGGTCATTTCGTTAGGCCTCAGACATTCCATAGCTATTTGGAGGACATTATCAACTACCGTTGGGAACTCGAAGAAGGGAAACCCAACCCTTTGAGAGAAGCCAGTTTCCAAGACCTGCCTCTCCGTACCCGTGTGGAGATCTTGCACCGCCTCTGTGATTATCGGCTAGATGCAGATGATGTCTTCGATCTTCTCAAGGTGCTTCCCTGGCAAGCCCTTTCATTAAAGCAATAAAAAAACAGCAGTCAGAAATGTGGTCAGAACATCGAACCAAAGATATTAAGAGAAGACAGTCTTTTGCTTGTTAATACTAGCCTTTGTGCTCTTAATTGATACTGACACTGTATACACAACCATACCCAGGTAGCCAAGGAATGCAAGACATGCTTGTATTTGGCAGTACATTATTTTAGTTTAATGTCTAGCTGGATTTTGTTTCTCCATATACTGAATTCCAGATGAGATGGGAACAGCCATGTCATTACTCAAAATTGCACTTTATTTAGAACTGAATTTTATTTCCCAAGGTCTGAATGTGAGCATAATTCAAATATTTATTAGGAAACTGTAAGGACTTGAAATAATACATACTAGTGAAGTTTATTTTCTATACACAGTTCAAAGAAACTGTAGAAGGAAGATGTAAGAATCTCTTCCCTCTCCCTTATTTTGTTGCTATTATGTTATCCTAAAAGTATATCAAAATGGGGAGTATGGGTTATTTCACAAACAGGGACGTCAGCTTCTAAATATGTTTAATCATAAATGATTAAATGGTGTTAACTTTGCAGTCCAGCTCTGCTCATGGACACATGATTAAAAATCATTGTGTAATTTAGTGCAGTCTTTGCTTAGGACTTCAGTAGCAGTGGGAAGATCAAGCTAGGGTGTGCTGTGGTGTAAATTGGGAGCTGTATTGCTGGAATAGGAATTATAATAGTGGATCAAGATAAAACCTTGAAACATCTCATTCTAGTCTGTTGTAATTGTCCTTCCTTTCAAATGTGCACACATAAAATGACAACTCTCCCAAACATTTAAAATGTTAATCAGATTTTTTTTTCTTTTTGCTGAAATAATACAAGTAGTAGAGGTAGGTAACATTTTAAATATTTCTGTATCTTGGTCTTCAAAGAAAGTACATACACCCATCCATTCTGTTTCATCTGCCCAGATGATAAATTACAGATGATATACTTGGGCATTTTAAAATATGAGGTATGTCTGAATATAAATGTCGAATTGTCATTTTAGTCTTCTTCTATTTTATTTTGTTCCTCATTTCTCCAAATCCCCTTTCCTGTTTAACTAGGGTCTGGATGCAGATAGTCTCCGAGTGGAACCTCTGGGTGAAGACAATTCAGGGGCACTTTACTGGTACTTCTATGGAACTCGAATGTACAAAGAGGATCCCGTACAAGGAAGGTCCAATGGAGAACTCTCTATGAGCAGGTAGTCTTTTTTTTTTTCTTCTTTTCCTTGGTGGTACTGGTGTTTGAGCTCACAGCCTCATGCTTGCAGTCTACTGCTTTAGCCTCACCTCCAGCCCTTTTTGCTCTGGCTGTTTTGGAGATAGGGTTTCACTTTTTGCCCAGGCTTTCTCGGGACAGTGATCTTCCTATTTTATGCTTTCCCCTGTAGCTAGAATTAACAGGTGGGCATGCCGCCACACCCAGCTTTTTCTGTTGAGATGGGATTTCCCAAACTATTGGCCTGGTCTGGCCTCAAACTATAGTCCTCCCACTCATAGTTCCTCCAGTAGCTAGGATTAAAGGCTTGAGCCTTTACTGTCAGGGCTGTGATAGCTGTGTGTCAAAATGTAATTAAAGTTAAATGAATCAGAATTCTAAACTTTTTCTTATCAGCATTCCTGAAAAGAGATGGCAAGGAGGTATTTCATACAAAAAGAACTTGCTCTGTATCCTCTGATACAAAGCTACGGTGAAAGACAATTTCATTCTGATATGAAGTTGTTGACAAGAGATTTCCTGAACAGTACCATAGGCAATCCTTGAGAGCTCTTTCATTAGACTTGATTATCTGCCTTGTGAACCTTAGGGCTCATCAGTACAAGGTAGAGCTTGAAATGATGCCTGAAACACAAGCCTTGCTAAATAAATACTTCCTAAATAAGGCAGGCCTCACTGCCATAGCATCCCAAAATGATGCTAAGCTCTTGTTTTATTTAGACTTCCTTTTTTCCGGGAGCAGTGCTTACTATTAGGAAGACCTTAGATCTTACTCATACTTTAGTATTAGAGAATGTCAGTTTTCTTTTGTTCCACACACTGATATGGAATACAAAAAGTCAGTGTTTTTTCCCTTTGTTTGCTGCATAATCCCTTTGGATAACCTTGTGGGCCAGAAATAACATAATTACTAAAGTAAAACTCTTATGTAACTCATGAGTCTTATACCAGAACATTTCTTTTAATAATACTATTTCTTAGGGATAGTGAAAGACAAAAAAATGTATCAAATGTTCCTGGAAAAATAGGAAAAAGAAGAGGAAGGCCCCCAAAACGGAAGAAACTGCTGGAGGAGGTTACAGCAAGGTAAGAAAATCTTGTTAATCTGTGGTCACAGACTCTCAAGCTGGAAGGAACTTTACTTAATTTCACTTCTTCCTTCATGCTTGATTTTGCTTGAGCCATGGGAAGGACATAGATCTTAGGTTCTGAAGACCTAAGTCAGAGTCCTTGTGAAATTGGCTAGTATGCCCTTAAGAAAACAGAAAGCCCTGTCTGCGTTAATTCTAACAAGTTACTGCCCTCCCTCAACTTACTGTTATTTTACTGGACAGTTTAATCCTCGTTTAATGAGGATTATTAAACTGAACAAAACAGTGGATGGCAATGCAATAAACTAAAAGCTACGCTTGTAAATAGTAAGTGTTCAATAAATATTTGTTATACTAAACATTTAAGTATTGTGGGCTAGGGTTGTTCCTTAGTGTTAGAGTGCTGGTCTGTCATGACCAGGCCCTGACTTCTGTCCCCTGCACCATCAGCAACAACAGCAATAACCAAAAAGTGTTGACTAGCTAGTGTCTTAGTAGAATTATTTATTATTCCGTGTTCTTTTCCAAAGGAGAATTTACTACTTAACATGCTGTACTTTGTTTACAGTACAGTTTCCTACAATTAAAACAAAAAAGGTAGCATCTTAACTATTTTCTTAATCTTTAATTTATGTATAATTCTAGCAAAGAAAAAGACATTCTCTTACATTTGAGAAGTTTACTTTTATACTTCATAATCTTATAGTAGTGTACCATGAAATAGAAGTATTCAAAATCTGACCTTTCCTGTAAACCTGCAGAAGTGAGGCCATGTTTTTAACATTTCTAGTAACAGAATAAATAGCTTCTTTCACTAAATTTAGAAATTCTGACTACTTAATCTAAGGGTTCTTGGATTACATAATCCCACTGATGCTTTTTAACCACAAAGAAATATTCTTACTACTTGGGAAGCTGAGATCGGCAGAATTGCATTTGAAGCCAGCCTTAGCAAATAGTTTGTAAGACCCCCGTCTCCAAAAATAACCAGAACAAAGTGTACTTGAGGTGTGGCTCACATGGTAGAGCACGTGCTTTGCAATTGCTAAACCCTGAGTTCAAACCCAGGTCGCCCTAAAAAAGATCCTAAGGAATCACATAAGTAAATCAGTATGATTTGGATTTTGTTAACTCCCATCAGAATTCTACTTAAACCTTCTACAAATTTAAATGAGTTGTACAGCTTATTTCTTCAATAGCAGTGTGTGTGAGAAATGTTCCATAGTTACATATGGTATGTATATGCCCTACATATACAGCAACTTCTAAATTTAGGAGAGCCATTTATTTATGCCTGTCTTCATTTCCTTGAAATTAACAATAATGAAAGTACCATAACGTTCACAATATAGAAATCATTTGTCCCAAGCAAACATAGACTTGTGCTACCCTCTACTGGTGCTTTTTATACCTTTAGAGCTTTGTAGCTGAGGCTATTTAAATGCTTTACAATTAAGTGAAATTTAATTCCAATTTATAATTTCATTTGATTGTAAATTATTTAAGTATACTATCTACATTTTAGATGCTCGGCAGCTACTTTATTAGCTTGTGACAGAAAACATTTTCATTTGAGAGTTATATCAAATGATACACTGTTTGGAAAGAAAGAAAAACCTAGTATTCCCATTTTGCTTCAGGAATCCAATTGATAATGACAGTCATACTTACCATTTTGTGATTTAATTTGTGTATTTTGTAATTTAGTCTCTGAGATTTCTATGAGGTAAGAACTGTATCAACAGCCTCATTTTACAGGAAAGTTAATTACGTTCTCTGAGGTCACATGGTGATAGACCTTGAACAGAAGCAGTTCAGCTTCAAAGCCCGTGTGCTTTTAACCTTTACTTTAGATAAGGTTAAAGTAAAGAAGCCATCTTTAGTGTAGCCCTGATTCAGGCAGGAGAACATTAGATTCCCTAGTTCTTTTTTCTTGGTATTTAACTATTAACATTTAACTCATCTATTTGATTTCCCAAAAATGTTTCTAAAGTAGCTATTTTCCTATGCATGACATGGCCATATCATTGGTTCCTCTGTGTTAGAACTTCTAGTCTCTAGCAGCATGCCTACATCCTACTTTTCATTTACTCAGGGGAATCATGCCTCTTCCCCAACTTCACCCCCCATACACATGCACGTTCTCTCTCTCTCTCTCCATATTAGGTTGGGTCTGCATTCTGGGGGATGTACCAAGCAATTTTGGACTTGTCTTTATTTTAATTGCTGCCTCCTTTTCCTGTGTTTCAGTGAAAAGCAGGAAGAAAACTCCTTGGCACCTGAGCCACAGACAAGAAATGGTAATGATCTTTGTTGATGTTTAGAAAGGGTGAAGTCAACCTAATTCTTAATTCCTTAACTACAGAGTAGTTAAGATGATTGCAGTAGCCTTCTCACTAGCCTCCCTCCCGTCTCCAATTCTCCATTCCTCTTATCTCATCCTGTGCCTCTCTTTCCATCTCACAGACAGCTTTAGATCAGGACTGTCTGTTCACAAATGTCCTGTTATCTCTCACAGTATAATAGGCACCTAGACATTTGATTGAATTAGCAGCTTCTCAAAGAACTTTTTAATGTCAGCACTTTATGACATACTACTTTCCTACCTGGATTTTAATTCTGGTTTCCAAAGAGCGTAAATTCAAGAGAAATAAACACTTTACCATATCCTTATATAAATTAGTCAAGGCATAAATTTCTGCATAGGATCAAACTCAAAACCATTTTTCTAGGAAAGTAAATACATTTAAGCATTGCTTAATTCTAGCTACTTGGAAGACGGAGCTAGGGAGACCAAGATCCAGAGGATCACCGTTTGATGCCAGCCAGAGCAAAAAGTTCACAAGACCTCATCTAAACCAATAAAAAGATGGGCATGCTGCTGTGCCTGTTACCCCAGGTATTTGTGAAGCATAAATAGGATCACAGAGCCTGGCAGCAGTAGCTCATGCCTACAATCCTAGCTACTTGGGAGGCTGAAATCAGGAAGATCACAGTTCTGAGGCCAGCCCAGGCAGTTAGGAGACCCCATCAAGCTTGAAGCTCAACACCACCAAAACAGAAAGTGTCAGCCCTAGCATAGACCGGCTAGGGAATGTGGCACAAGTGGTAGAATGCTTGCATGTAAGAACCTTAGTTGATAAGTCCAGTATCACTCCCCACCCCCACAAAAAAAAAAAAGGGTAAAAACGCCTCTTTTTTCTTCTTTTTTCCCCCTCTGACTTCCTTATTTTAGTTATGATCCAGGGTAGTAAGTAAGAAAAAGGTGTTCTAGTGGTATCTCTTGTAATGAATCTATCCTTTTCTTTTGTAGGTTCCCAAGGACCTGGTCAGGGCACATGGTGGCTCCTGTGCCAAACGGAAGAAGAGTGGAGACAGGTCACCGAGAGCTTTCGAGAGAGGACCTCCCTCCGAGAGAGACAGCTCTATAAGCTCCTCAGTGAAGATTTCCTGCCTGAGATCTGTAACATGATTGCCCAGAAGGTACACCTTTTCACCCTACAGTGTCAGTAAGAAGCTGAGTACTTGCACTGTCCATTAGGTGGTATAGGCTCTCATCCTCTCTGAACTGGAGTGTTAATGTACCATCCCACCAGATCCCTTCTCCTGCACTGTGGGTCACATAATGTCTCCTTACCCCCATGGAGTCCTCTGTGCCCACCACCCAGAATAGCATTTCAAAGCCTGGAACTGGCTTCTTTTTCATGTAACATACGTCATGAAGTGTCGTGAGTTTGCTTTTTATTTTACTTTAAAAAAAAAAATCTCCTTACCAATCTGTCTCACCCTCTAAATAGCAGACTTTGATGAGTATTTGTCTTACAGCTCCAGTGCTAAGCTCCACCTGAACTATTTGTTTCTTCTCCAACTTCAGGACAATTGGTAGTTTCCTATTCCCTATATTTTCATGCACATACACTCTAATTCATGATATTTTCAAACATTATTCCACTCCCTTCTCTCCTTATTTCTTTGGTATTACTCTTAAAAACCCTGCTTCAAGCCAGGCATGGTAGTGAATGTCTGTATTCCCAGTACTTGGAAGACTGAGGCAGGAAGACCTTGAGTTCTTGGGCAGACTGTGGGGAACCTGTGTTTAAAATACAAAACAAAGTCCTGGTTCAGTCCCTGGCACCACAAAAACAAGTTTTTTATTTGTCTTATTAAAGGTGGTGGGGGAAAAAAAAACGGCACAGCCCCACTTCAACGTCATTATCTCCATGAACTATCCGTTTCTTCTAACCTCAGCATTTTCTTTGCTAACATGTGTCCTTGTGCTCTGTTTTATCACATTGTGAGTTTAAGCTTCTTCAGCTCAGAGGCTGTGTGTTAACTCTTTTTTGACCTCTATAGTACGTAATGTAATATATTTTCTATGATGAAATGTTCCTAATAATTCAGTTTGCTTATTGCATTTCAATAATGCTGGTATATCTGGTTATTGCATGTTGACAGAAGACCAGATATATTTGATCACCTGTTTGGGTGCTTTCAGAAAAGTTCTGGAAATCCTTACAGGAACTTAAAAAATAGTGGTTCAAAATTTACATTGTTGTCAGGAACTATGGTGTACATCTGTTTATTTAATCCAGCACTTGAGAGTCTGTGATTATGGGTCCCAGGCCAACCTGGATTATGCAGGAAGACCCCATCTCAAAAAGAAAAAAGTTTTAAGTTGCTACACCTAGAATCACAAAAATCTGCATTTCCCCATCCATGTACTTAATTCCATAAAAGATAATTGGATTTAGTTTTGTGATCTGCATTCTACTGTGACAATTTTTCCAGGCATTAAAATATATAATCCAGCTTTTCCTGGTTCACTCAGACATATACTTCTTTGATCCCCATTCCTGGTAAAGTTAAATACAGTCTCCTCATTCAATGATAAACATGTGAAGTTGCCAATAAGTAAAACCTGCCTCTTTACCAAAAGAATAATGCATTATAACCCATCAGGGTCTAAGCCTGAGAATATAATATTAATAATACTATTTTGGAAACCCTGTTCAGTATAATAACAGCAAGAAATAAGATGCATAATTTTAGAATGTTTTCCTGAACTATATATGATTAAATGTCTATTAATTAGAATTTCATAATAGTGCTAGGTAATTAGACTGATTGTCTGCATCAAAATCACCTGGCATGCTTACTTAAAATCCAGGTTCCTATCACTGCAACATTCCATATGATTCAGAGTACTGCCTGTTACTCTTTCTCTTGTAGAACCTGTCTAGGTGATTTTTAAAAACTACGAAAAAGCCCATTTACATAGCAACAAAATTTTCAGTAATCCTAACTAGAGTTGTACACAGTATGTATGGAAAAAAAAATATCTGTGAAACTGTTAGTAGATAAATATTTTCCAACTCTGATATGCATTTTGTCGTACCTGTACTGGAAAGAAAGTGTAAGTGTATATAGTTTAATATTCAACTTGGTAAATTGAAAATTTACCCCTCAAGTTGGGGTGCTAATGGTTTATGCCTGCAATCTAACTACTTTAGAGACTGAGATTGGGAGGATCTCGGTTCCAGGCCAGTCTTTGAGAGACCCCTTCTGACAGAAAAGGCTGGGCACATAGGTGCCTGCCTTTTGCCCTACATACTAAGGTAAGCATAAATAGGGAAACTGCAGTACAGGCCTTCCTGGGCAAAAAGTGAAACCCTATCTCAAAGGTAACCACAGCACAAAAGGGCTGGTGGTACTCAAGATAGAGCACCTGCTTAACAAGCTCAAGGCCTCAAACTAGAGCCCCAGTACCAATGATTGATTGATTGACTGATTGATAGAAAGAAAGAGAAAAAAAAAAAGAAATATGAGCCAAATCGCAGCATAATGTAAATTTTCTTTCAAGCTAGAAAAACTTTCTTCTATGCCTATAATCCCAGCACTCAGGAGACCAAGGCAGGAGGATTGAAAGTTCAAGGTCAGCCTAAGCTACATAGGGAGACCCTTTCTCAAAAAACAAACAAACAACAACAACAACAACAACAAAAAATCCTGGGCTGGTGGAGTGGCTCTAGTGTTAGGAACGCCTGCCTAGCATGTGCAAAGCCCTGAGTTTATCCCTGTACCAACCACACTTCCTGCCCCCCCAAAAAAAGTCAGAAACAACTTCCAAACCAACAGTGAATATAAATATTGTGTGAAGAAGGAACAGTAGACAGTGGATGACAACTAGTCCTATCATGTATCATCACACAAATTGGCACATTGGAAGCATTTGGTTTGGTTTCATTTCATTTCTTTCTTTTTTTTTTTTCTTTTGTGTTCGTTTGGTTTCTTTTTCTCTTTTGGAGCATCTAGCATAAATGTTTTATTGAAAGCTGGAGCTCTATCAGCTCTTAGTGATCTTTACTAGGCACTCAGGAGTTAAGTTATATGTTCAGCATTAATTGTAATATTTTAATGAGCCCATTTGTATCTATTATACTTGTTAATATACATTAAATATTAGGAAACCAATAAAATATGGCCATAAAAACTTCTAGAGGAGAAAAATTGGGGCTAGGCGTGTAGCTCAGTTTTAGATTGTTTGCCTTACTTGCATGAGACCTTGGGTTCCATCCTTAGCACCACAAAGAAAAAAAGGGGAAAAAAAAAGCCTGGGAATATACCTCAATGGTAGTGTTTGCCTAGCATGCACACAAGGCTCTGGGGTTGATCCCCAACACCATAAAAAGAAAAGGGAAACAAAAAAAAATAGTTGCTTCTTCAAAAGTTGACTGTCAGATTAGGGCAAAATGGTAAAAGATTGTTGGGAGCACTTAACTGTGGATTCTGCTTTGGGTTTTCAAGTGTGCAAAATGTCTTTCATATTAAAAAAAAAAAAAACCCACAGAAGATCAGATGAAAGTTTAAGCAGATTTATGTGAATAAATCACAGGAAACCCTCTCAATGGGGCCGTGAGGCCTACAATTGGTGAATGGCAGTACATTAATAATTAAGTGCTTGAAAAGTATAATTTCCTCTTTTATCTATGTTTTAACAATGAAAAATGCTTATGTAAAATGTGAAAATTGAATCATAGATGAATCAGAAAGAATGTGGCAGATAGACACTATTACATTGCATATTAAAACACAGTGTATAAAGGGGGCACAAAACTGAGCAGTGGACAAAAGAGCCAAATTGTGTTGTGGAGGTGCAAAAGCTGTTCCTGAAATTTACTTAAATGATGATGTTGCCCTGTTCTAGTGATCCCTTGGACAGGTTACTTCATATCTCTGAATTTCAATTTCAAATTTTCTTGCTTAAAAAGTTTCATGTTACTTTCACAGGAGCTTTTGTGGGAATTATATAGAATCCATGTCAGTGAGCATAGCACTCAGAGTGCTGATGGTGATAGGTAATTGATGCGAAATCCTGGTAGGAAACTAAACCCACAATTCTTTATAAATTAAATGAAAGAGAGAGTCATAAGATTTGATAAAGATATAATGGTAAACTTTAAAATAATCAGAAGTAAGGCTTTCTTTGAGCATATAAAAGTTAAGCTTTTTTTTTTTTTTTCCCCTCGGTACCAGAGCTTGAACTCAGGGCCTCACACTTGCTAAGCAGGCACTCTATCACTTGAGTCAGTCTGCTGGTACTGTTTTGTGTTGAGTGTTTTCAGGATAGGGTCTTGAGAACTATTTGTAAGGGCTTGCTTTGAACCATGATCTTTATGATCTCTGCTTCCTGTGTAGGTAGGATTACAGGCGTGAGCCACCTGCTCCCAGCAAGCTTTTTTTTTTCCCCTTTTTCTTCTTTAATAAAAAGATATGTAGACTGCTTCAAAGGTTTGTTGTTAGTGATGTAGAAAGAAATATTTAGGCAAGTTTTAAACATTAGGTTTATCATGGTGTAGTGGCTGAAGCAGTAAAAGTGCTTGCTTAGCAAGTGTGAGGTCCTGAGTTCAAACTCCAGTGCTACCAAAAAATAACATAACATTAGGTCCTTAATAATAAAATTGGTTTAGATTGCTTACAGAAAAGGTGATAGTAATGTATGAGGGATACTTGTTCCTCCTCTGTCTCCTGACTGACTTTTATCTGATGTGACAAACTTGGAGTAAAACTGGTATTGGCTTCTTGTGCTACTAATATGATGGTAAACTGACAAGATTCCTTTTATCAGAGTTCAGTGGTAAGTTTATATGATTATTTGGTTTAAGAGATCTTCACAGGCTTATTGTGGAAACTGCTAGAGTAACATTGGAGGAAGGCAGCCCAGACATCCTTTGACACTGTGATTGCATTTGCACTAGCACCTGCTCATTTCTTTGTTTTAGAAACAGAAAAGCTTTCTAACATTACTGATTTGTTAAATCTACCTCTGTTGCTTTGCAGTGTGTTTAAACTACACAGACTATTCCTTATTGTCATTGAGTTTTTTCCTTCCTTTGATTCCTTGCCTCATTGATTCTTCAAGAAGTTTAAATACTTTGGATTAAGTGATGCCAGAACCAAAGTCTTATAATGCTGTCTTGATGCTGCAGCCATGGAAATTATTATATTATCTGACCTCAGTCTCTTTTAATTGTAGGTTACAAGGTGATGCTAATGGGTCTCATTCCACAGAATCCCCAAATGTGCATCTTGGCCATCACAATAATTTGCCTAGGTTTATATTCTCAGAACTCAGGACTCTTAAGCTGCTAAATTTTCTCAGGGTCATAATCTTTTCAGGTCAGCTCTCTGATTCCTACTCTCTGTTATCTTTTTTCTCACTGGGTTTGGGCCCTAGCCTGGGCAGCTGCCCTCACTTCTCACTACTGCCACTGACTTCCATTGATTTGATTGATTGATTGATTGATCAATTGGTTGATTGCAGTACTGGGGCTTGAACTCAGGGCCTACATCGTGAGCCACTTTACCAGCCATTTTTTGTGAAGGGGTTTTTGAAGATAGGGTTTCTTGAACTATTTGCCTGGGCTGGCTTTGAACTGTGATCCTCCTGATCTCTGTCTCTTGAGTAGCTAGGATTAATAGGCATTAGCCACCATCACCCGGCTTGACTTCCTTTTAAAGGCGCATTCTCCCTCCAGCTGCTCTTAATATCTTCTTTCAGACCCATACCCTCAGCTGAATGCTGTATGACTTAGCTTCATCCTTTGTGGTGGAAAATTTTTACTGTTTTTTGAGACAGGGTCTCAATAATGTAACTCAAATGGGCCTTGAACTTTTGATCATCCTGCATGCTGAGATTATAAGCATGTACTATCATGCCCAGTTGGGAAAAGTTTTTTCATATTAGAATGTAGTTAAGGGGTCTGGAAGCATGGATCAAGTGGTAGAGCACCTGCCTAGCAAGTTCAGAGTTCTGAGTTCTAACCCCAGTACCACCCCCCCAAAAAAAAAAAAAGATTTTTTTTTTCTTTAAAAAAGGTAGTTAAGGAATTTCTTTTCTATGATAAAGGTTGTCATAGGAGACACTTGGTCCCCTGGGGGGTTTTGTTGTTAATTTGAGAGAATATACTGGCTTGTGGTTTAAGAGGAAGAGCACCTGCTTAGCAATTGCTATCAATCTCCAGTACTGCCAAAAAAAAAAAAAAAAGAAAGAAAGAAGAAATATACTGGCTTAGAACCTTGCACAGCTGAATAGTTGTTTTCCCTGATCATCCTAAAGATGGGCACCTTTGGCCCTTCCTCTAGATAAAGCATTTACTTTGCGTGCCTTAATGGGCACTCTTCTCCTGGTGGCAGCAGCAGCAGCAGCAGCTGAGAATACCCTAATCTATCTTTTCCTTTCTTTTCCTCACTTCTAACTGTAGGGAAAACGTCCACATCGCACAAAGGCAGAGTTGCAACCTAGGTGGATGTCTGACCACCTGTCCGTCAAATCCATCAAGCGAGAGGAGGTGAGTGTGTGTGAGAGTAGAGAGAGCATTTCACAGTGTTCAGAAATGTTAGTTCCATTTTGTTTCATGTAGCCCTTTTATTTCTACTGCTTTATTTTCCTTATTTTTAAAATCTAAATTTCAAACCTTATTGAGGAATCTTCTCTAAGGTGCATTTCTAGAAACAGAAGATACTATAAGAAATGAGGTCACATTCTTTTCAACTTCATGATTTGCTTGAGTAATAGGCACATCCATTTTTAACCCAATATAGATGAGAGTGATAAGTTACATAGTATTTACAAGAAGCTCATTAATGCAGAAATGGAAGGAATCACAGCTGGGCAATGAGGGGGATTTGGGCAGGAGATCTGTGTTTGACTTGACTAAGGACTAAGCAATACTTCCTGTAATAGGAAATCATACAAGTTTTGCTGTTGGAGATGTAGCTCTAGAATGGAGGAGAAGATGATCTTCTGGAAGAAAAAATAGTTTCAATATTGAAATGAAACTCAATTCAAAGAATGATAGGTATGGAGGTCAAGGTGCAAGAAGTTGAATAGTGAATAAAGTTTTTATTAATCACCATTTGCTTGTCTTTTGGGAAGTACGACAATGAAAGAAAACATAGCAAAAGTAAAAGCCAGTGTGGTGGCTCAGGCTTATAATCCCAGTACTCAGGAGGCATAGACAGGAGGATCACAAGTTCAAGGCAGCATGGGCTTACTAGGGAGACTGTCTTAAGAGAGAGAAGAAAAGAGGAGAGCTGTTTTGTTTACTTACTTACCAAGTAGTCTAATTGGTCACATTTCTCCTAAGACACAAGGATAAATAAAGAGGATACACAAGGACTGTTCTCTTGAGGGGCAGGAAGAATCTTCAGAGATTTATATTCTGACAAATGAGGAGAAATAGCATCAGGTGCAATGTTAGATGAAGAAAACATTTGAGGCAACAAATAGATATTGCTAAGAGGGTTTTTCAAGTAGTACCCAGGAAGGAACTGTATTTAGGCATTTTTGTTTTAATATATCTTTGAAGAGGGTCAGATGGCTTTATGTAGCATCACATTGTAGGAAGGAATATGTTCCATCACATATTAGCCAGGCTAGTGGTCATAGAAAGTTTTACCTTAGGACACAGTTGCTTTGCTGTAGGCCATTATCTTGGGCTGGCCTATAAGGTTGGGGCACCTTCTTTTTATCTTGCAGTTAGATTTTTGTCACTCTTAAATTGAAGTGTCAACACTGCACTCTATTACAGAGATCTTTTCACTAATTGACCATCTTGTACCTTGAGCTCTTGGAAGGAAAAAGTAAATTTTTATTGACTTTAATGTATTTTGATCTAGGCCATAAGGAGGCAGAGGCCAGGAGGATCACGAGTTCAAGCCTGGAGAATACATCAAGATTGTGTATCAAACACCTCTTTGCTACCCCACCTCCCAAAAAAATACACATGGCACTCACAGAGGAAGAGCTTTTGTTTCTTTACCATTGAGTTACACCCCAGCCCTTACTCCTTTTGTAACTCCTAGATGTGTTCTTGCCAGGAGATCAGTGGCTCAACATGTAATTACCTTCGAGTTGACAATTTTACAGTAACTGGCCCCCAGTCCTCTCTTCTCCCCGGTAGTCATTAGCTATGGCCTTTGATAGTTCGTATCCAGCCACAGTTCTCTGATGTTTTTCAGCTTCTCCTGTATTACTGGATTCCCTCCATTCCTGTTATTACCCTAGTGGGTAACACCGCCTTGAAAACTCCCTTTTCTATTTGCTGTCACTGCCGTGAGCAGACCTCTGTTCCCCAATTCACTGTTTATCCCACTGGAGGCATTAATGGCTGCAGCAGTTTAGCATCAAACACTAACATTTCTTCTGTTTTTGGTTAGATTTGTACTGGAAACCACAGTAGTGCAGTGATAATTTGAATATCTATATTGGAACCAGATACTCTGGAGAAATCTTAATTAGTAACTTGAGTTTTGTGCTTTTGTTTTCAGAGCAGAAAATCTTCAGGCCTTTAAGCATACAGACATTGATTACCCAGTAGCCCTATGTTACTGCCCCAGAAATCTTTAATTATGACTCTTGGGGAAAATACCAGTGAAGGGACACTGTCTCCCTGAGTATAGGATTATGGCTGCCGGGGTATTTTTGTCAGCAGGCTCTGGAATTTGCTGTTGCTAGGCAGCTGTTTGTGGTGGTACAGTCCCAAATGTGCTCCTAGATGGCAAGGGTACCACCAAGTCTGAACACCTGCCTTGGCCCAGGGAGCTCAGCACTGTGTAAACCAGGGGTTCTAGTTAATAGTCCATTAGAGGATTCCACAATGGTATTTCTAATTAGCTTCTCATTAAGAGACTCTCTTTATTCTAGTAGATTCTGTCTTATCAGTAAAGCATTTGAACATATACCCCTACACCCCTCCCCCCTCTCTCTTTTTCTCTCTAGTTACTGGGGTTTGAACTCAGGGCTAGGCGGGTACTCTGTGACTTGAGCCTTGCCCTTTATTGCTTTAGTTATTCTTGGTTACTTTTTAGGTACGGTCTGCATCAGACCAAGATCCTTCAGTATACCTCCCACATAGCTGGGGCCACAGATATGCTCCACCACCACGCCCAGTTTATTGTTTGAGATGGTTTCTCACCAACTTTTCTTTCCTGGGGTGATGATCCTCCTGATCTCAGTAACTAAGATTATAGACATGAGCCACTTTGCCCACTCTTGCCACTTACCCATTTTAGAGAAAAAAATTGCAGTGTGAGACAATGTGAATTTTTTCCTTCCACTGGTTGGCTTGCTGGTTTGGTTTTTTGCTAATTTTGTTGTACTCGATCTTCATTAATTAAAACACAACAAAAGTACCTTCAGAAAGGCTTTTCTTTCCTTTAGTGCTTTCATTAGCACTTGCATTGCCTTAAAATGGAATCATGCTGAAAGTTAGCACAGAAATTTTAAAACAGGTAGTACGCAGCCTGGATTTTTTTTTCAAATGTGCAGGATGTCATTTCTATAAAGTAATTGTTGATTCACATGAGATGGGAAACTGCTGAAGTTACAATACATGATTTTAAAACAAAGAAAAAGGGCAAGCCTGGCACTGGTGGTCTATACCTGTAATCCCTGCTACTCAGAAGGCAGGATTGGCATTCAAAGCTGGGCTGATAAAATGCCTACCTAGCAAGCATGAATGAGGCCCTCAGTTCAAATGCACTACTGCTTCCTCTCCCCCAAAAGGACATAGGAAATGTGAAGCAAAGATGTATTCAGCTAAGCAGATGAATTGTCACCTGACTTGGCCATGCTAGGGTGAATTCGGGAGAAAGTGATCTGAAAAACAGAGGTAGGGTTGAACCTGCAAGACAAGGGACCACAGCTAAGGAACAGCAGGTGTAGGTTCTTGACCTTTTCTTGAAAAGACATCAGGGAGTTTGTTTGGCTTTCAGAGATGCTGTTAATTGTGGTATCTCAATTGTTATATTGTGTGCTTGGCATATATATTAATAGATTAGAAAAAGAATGTCAACTGGGCACATACTATATAACCAATGTCCAGAGTAAATAAATTCATAGCGATACAAAGCAGATTGGTTGCCAGGCACCAGGAAAGATGAATGGGAAGTGGCTACTTAATAAGATATGGCGTTCTTTTGGAATATTTTGGAATTTAATATAGGTGGTAGGTAGGTAAGGCCAGACACGGTGGTTCACGCCTGCAATCCCAGCTACTTGGGGGGGGGCTGCAAATCAGAAGGATTGCAGTTCAAGGCCAGCACGGGTAAAAAGACATTCAAACTCCCATCTCAACAAATAAAAGGTTAATGTTTAAAAAATAATAAGTAAATTACCAGATTTCATTGATAAAAACTAATAGCCAGGTGTTGGTGGCTCATCCTTGTAATCCTAGCTACTCAGGAGACAGAGATCAGGAGGATCGCAGTTCTAAGCCAGCCCAGGCAAATAGTTCAGGAGACCCTATCTCAAAAAAACCCATTATGAAATAAAAGGACTTGTGGAGTGGCTCAAGTTGTAGGTCCTGTGTTCAAATCCCAGTACCACCACCCAAAAACTGATAAAAGGGAGGAAAAAACAAATCAGCTATTTGCTTTACTATCTTAATGCTTCATCAGATTTTTTTCACAAATTAAATTTTTTTTCTGCCTCTCAGCTTATTCGAGTGTGACTATTGCTTCTTTGACCTGATTTCTCAGCAGCCTTAGAGAATCATATTAGCTCCCTTCAATGGTGTATTCTACTTGAAACTGGCCAGGTTCTGTTTGTATCTTGTAATTGCTCCAGTACAAAGTATAAAGCGAGATTTTTCCAGAAGCAATACCTGCAAGTAACTTCCAGGTGAAAACTTTTGCAGTTAAAATTAGAAAATGCGATATTTTATCTAAAATTTTGTTTCAAGAATAACTTAGGTACAAAAAAAATTGTATTTGGCCAGCGTTGTATTTGGCTCATGCCTGTAATCCTAGCTACTGAGGAGGTAGAGATCAGGGGGATCAAGGTTCAAAGCCTGCCCAGTCAAATAGTTCTCGAGACCCTATCTCAAAAATACCCATCACAAAAAAGGGCTAGCAGAGTGGCTCCTGAGTTCAAACCCCAGTACCACAAAACAAAAATTGTATTTGATGATTTTAATTAGAATATAAACATAGGGTTCATGCTCCAGTACCGCCAAAAAAATAAAAGTATCACATCCCATAGAATATAAGCATTATAGGTGCATCCTTGTTTTTTCTTTTGGGATGCCACAATAATTTACACTTACAATCTTTCTTCATTTGAAGTTTTCTGTTTCTGCTAGCAGAGTGGCTCAAGCAGGAGAGGCCTGAGCTCAAACTTCAGTACCACCAAAGGAAAAAAGAAAAAGCAAAATTTTCTGTTTCATTATTATCAAATACCCTAGTTGGTGCTTTTGTTTGTTTGTGTTGTCTGAGTTTTGCCAGGGCTTGCCTCAAATTTGCAATCCTTCTCCCTCAACCTCTGGATTGCTGGAATTACAGGGTGAACTTCCATGCCTGGCCTCATAACTAAGTTCTAATACCTCTCCATAAAAATGCACAAGTTCTAACCTTTTGGTACTTGAATAGACATTAATTTTAGACTTTGAACAGGGGTCACATGGAGGGTAGAGTTAATAAGAATTGTATTGGATTACTTTAAAACATGTATTGCTGGTTGATTTCCTTACCTTATTTGGAAAGGGTTCTTCTGAGTCAAAGGAATATGTTTTCCTAGAAAACATGGAGACTGTGCAGAATGCCCACAATTCATGAATCTTATTATTTAGAGGTTTACGTAGTTGCATCTCTAAATCCATTTATTAGAATATTGAGATCATATTGAACACTTGGAACTTGGGTGGTTTATCTTCTGTGGATTGTGTTTTTGTTGCATATTTCATGTGGTGTTCTATTAGTTGATCTGTAAGATAATCTTTACATATTTAGACTGTCTTCAATAGCTGGAGGCATGGCCCAAGCAGGAGTGCACTGCCTACAAGTGTGCTGCCCTGAGTTCAAGCACCAGTACCGCCAAGGAAGAAGGAAAAAATAATGTCATATTTGTTGCAAAAGAATTTTATTCTTGAGATGATGTAATAGACTGTTTTCCCTCTTTTTTTACTTAACACGTATGAAATACCTGAAACAGCTCCTAAAATCCTGTCCTAGGGCTGTGGCTGGGGCCCAGTGAAAGTAGGATTCCAAATCATAAATAAGCAAGACTCTGGGTTTGAAGCCCAGACCAAACCAAAACCAAAGACTCATCCTTTTTTATGTAGCCTGTACTGGTTGAATGAAAACGTTTCACGTATCTATTCCTATATATAGGGAAGGGCAAAGTGTACATACAGGTTACTGTGTGAATAAACTGTGGTCATTACAAATGCCCAGTTTATTCTCTTACTATTTTACAAGGCTCAGTTTTCTTATTTTTCTCTTTCTCCACCCATGTTAATCATTTCATGCCTTACAGCTTTATCTTGGGGTTGTATAGCTGAAAAGAGTAAAGCAAGTTGGATAGTTTGCTTTGGTTTCTATGATTTGGTCCATCACAAATCAGACTGGGTATATACCAGCCTGCAGAGTGGGGTGGAGGTGGGGGCATTGCTGGTGGAATGCATGGAAGGTGCTTCACTAGCATTTACTTAGGAGGCAATGGCTGGAGTATGGTCTTCCAAAGAATTGTCCTCGCTGACAGAGTGCCTCAAGTGTTGGAGCGCCTGCCTAGCAAGCCTGAAGCTCTGAACCACAGAAACACACACACACACACACACACACACACACACACACACACACACGCAGAGAGAGACTTGTCCTTGCAAAATGTCAGTGTCACACCCCCCTCCCCTACCTCCCATTTCAGAATCATGGTCTTCCATATTTAGACTGCCCACATGGGTTACAGTATGAAGATTTTAGAGAACTTTACTACAGAGGCACTTCGAGTCCATTGTTAGATTTGCAGTTTTAAAGGGTAATGTTTTATTTTCATCTCTTATTCAGGTTTTTACTTAGTAAACTCCTTTCTGAGTCTGGCTCAAAGAATTTGAGTGGTAAAAATGACTTTGAGAAGTCTACTCCCTTAGCAAAACTACCTCCAAATTCTGAATCAAGTGAGAATCTAAGCTGGTTTTTAAGAAGTATAAAGAAAATAATAAAAAATTTGATCAGAAGTGATTTCATTGTTAAATGATAACTTCCCTGCAGCTGGGCACTGGTGGCTTATTCCTGTAATCCTAGAGCTTCTTGAGAGACTGAGACTGGGAGGATCAAGGTTCCACGCAGCATGAGCAAAAGCTACTTGTGAGACCGTTTCAACTGAAAACAGCTGGGTGTGGTCTTCCACAGGATCTTAGTGACAGTGGGAAGCATAATTAGAAGGACCTCAGTCTAGGCCTGCCTTGAGAAAAATAACCAGAACAAAAGGGCTAGAGGCATGCCTTATGTAGGAGAGTGGCTGGGTAGCAAGTGCAAGGCCCCGAATTTAAACCCCCATACCACACCCCCCTCCAAAAAAAGTAACTTGTCTAAATAGCAATCGGCATTTATCTTTTATTGCTTCTGTCAAATCAAGACCACTTGAGTAACTTCCACAGTTAAAAACCTTACAAAATTTATTTAATGTAGAATGATCATAGGTAAAAGAAAGTATCACATCACTATTAAGTTTCACCTAATTTCTGCTGTGAGACTAAAATTAGTTCTCCTGTTGACACCTACATCATTGTTCTGTGTCTGCAGCCTACAGTCACCATTGTAAGCATTACCATACCTTTTCAACATCAGTATTAAATTTTTAAAACTTCTAGCTTTTACGTCTGCACAAAAATTGAGGGAATAAATTCAACACTTTCAGTGCTCATGACTACAGAATGGTCAGGACTCATTTTACTAGAAAATATGCATTGTAAAACTTCCATAAAATTATGACTGTAATGGTTCTAGCTTCCTTTGTTGACAGTTCCTTTCATTATATTTCTTAGGCAGTCACATTCCCAGTGACTACCTGCAATTTTTATGCCAGTGTTTTTTGGTTTGAAAAACAAGGGAAAGGCGCTTGCTCCTTTGCATAGCTGCCAATCATTTTATCCTGTTTTCTCCTTTAAGTAAGTAAATGGGAAAATTCTAATATTCTCTGACTAATTTTCAGGAATTTCTGCATAGTGTTCATCTCTTTGTTAGATGTTGAGGCAAAATAGTGGCCCTTTCCACCAAATCCCCATTTTTTTCATTACTCATACCTGTAATCCTAACTATTTAGGAGGCAGCGATTGGAAGGATCAAGGTTCCAGGCCAACTTAGGCAAAAAATCAATGAGACTCCATATCAGAAGCTGGGTATGGTATTTTCTGTCATCTGTAAGAAATAGCTTTAAGATACCGATTGTTATGAGAGAGAGGACACTGCTCAGAAGTCAATAGGCAAGGCAAAATTTACTTTACAGAAGGTACATCACACCAGGCAGAAAGTCTGAAGGGGTTTCATCTCACACCATGCTGTCCCTCTCTTGCCCTTGGATTGAGCAGGTTTTGGGCTCGCAGTCTACATGGTTGGCTAATTTAGAAGGGGGCCAGGTTGGGAGGGGGCTTTGGGAACAAAGAAGTTTAAAAGTTCAGGGAAGCAATAACTGTTTTTGGTTATTAGCTCCAGAACCAGGGCATCAGGGCATCTAGTGGAATTCTTGCCCCTGCTGAGGAGAACAACACTTTGTCCTTCATAGGAACTTGTATCATATTGAGCAGAGTCCATGAAATGAGTGTATGGAAAGTGAGTTAGTGAGACTAACATTTGTAACAGCAGTGATTACTGATTAAATCTTTTGAGAGAAAAGACCCAACCCAAGTTGATTCTCACACATTCCAGCTAAGCAGGAAGTGTAAATAGGATCATGGTCCAGGGCAACATGGGCATAAATTCGAGACCCTATTCAAAAAATAACTAAAAAGCAATCAGGGTGGAGGCATGGTTGTGTCGGTACAGTGCCTGCCTTGCAAGTGGGAGGCCCTGAGTTCAAAATCCAGTACCCCTCCCCCCCCACACACAAAATAGATAGATAGATAGATACACATATTGGGAACCTGTGTTCTGTTTAGTGACTGTCTTTAGATAAAGGTACATTTTAAATTTTCAACTGTAATCCCAGCACTTAGAGGCTGAGAGCAGAGGATTGTGAGTTCAAAGTCAGCCTGGACTACTAGTGGGACCCTGTCTGAATGAACAGGTATTTTTTGTCAATATATCAGAAAAGTGCTATCTCTAAACTGCCTTCATTTCTCCTCCCTTCCCCTGGTGAACACATTATCCGTGATGCTATCTTCTAAATACTATAAATAAATCACTAGACCCAAAACTTAAAAAAAAAAAAAAATCCTGTTGTATTTTGTTGGTTTGCTTGTTTTTGATCTCACCATATAGCACGTGCTAGCCTTAAGCCTGTGACCTTCCTGCCTCAGCCTCCTGAGTGCTGAGATTACAAGTGTGAGATTACACAGCTAGGGGTTTGTGCGTGTGTATGTTGACGGGTTTTGGGGGTTTTCAGTCCTGGAGGTTGAACCCAGGACCTCGTGCATGGTACGCAAGCACTCTTTTATCACTGAGCTACATGTCTAGCTCTCCCATTGTTATTTATTTTTTGAGTAGTGTTACTAAGTTCTGGATTTTTTTTTTTTTTAAGTTTATCGTTTTTAAGTTTACTTACGTATATACATTATTTGGGCCACCTCCCCCCCATTGTATTTAAATTTTTGTATATTTACATATCCATACATGTTACAGACAACAGTCAACTTGCATTTATTTAGCTAGTGCAGCACTAGGGACTTTTCGCTCTGGCTGTTTTGGATATAGGGGCCCACTTTTTTACTGTGCTCTCCTATTTTAAGCGTCCTGCTGTTACTTGGATGACAGGCTTATGCTACCACACCCAGCTTTTCTGTGTTGAGATGGAGTCTTGCTAACTTTTTGCCCATGCTGGCCTTGAACCATGATCCTTCCAACCTCAGCCTCCCAAGTAGCTGTGACTGCAGGTGTGAACCTCTGGTTCCCAGCTTCAACTTGCATTCATGATTTAAATCCTCCACCTATTTATAATTAATTATCTAACTGTTTTTATTGGCTACTGAATTCAATAAACTGAATCTTAACTCAGAGGGTGAAGACCTGCTTTTCACTGTTGTCCATTGACTTCACTCATTGGCTCCTCACAGGAGACCCCTGTGCTCACCAGGATAGAAAAACAGAAGCGCAAAGAGGAGGAGGAAGAACGGCAGATTCTCCTTGCTGTGCAGAAGAAGGAGCAGGAGCAAATGTTGAAGGAGGAGAGAAAGCGAGAACTGGAAGAAAAGGTCAAGGCAGTGGAAGGTATGTGGGCCTTCTGCCCAGTCTTGAGAGACTCCTCCTGGGATCAGCCCTCCTGCAGCCAAGGCCAGATCAAGCTAGAGCCTGTGGTTAATCTCAGCTGTTTCTGTTTCTATTTAAATATCTAGTGAATCTGGTCTCCCTTTACATTTTTGCTAAAGCACCTGTCTTTGTCATTCTTTGTGTGCCTTTCAGTATCTTACTTGTTGGATTTCTGCTATATTTCACAGAATAGAAAAGAAAAATTGTAGCCTGTTAATAAAAACTGGTTTCACAGATGTAATTTTTAACGCAGATGTGATTGAGATATGCTTAGGAAAATTTGCAGAGATTCAGCAGTATTAAAGCCTGGAATGTTGCCATTAATATTATTAGGGCAAAATGGTTTTCTCAGGCCCAGGTTCAGTTCCTTAGTATACTAACATTTTCTTATGTCTGTAGTTCTGCAAACCAAAGGATATCAACTCTCTAGATGTTTTTTTGGATAGCAGTTGTATTCATAAGCTGAATCTGAAAAATCACGTGATTATAGGTCAATTGTCATGTTTTAATATATACCAAAGGTTTCTTTTTTAAAAATAAATGTATGGATTGTTTTTGTTTTGTTTTGGGGGTGTTCTTATGGGTTTTTGTTGTTTTTGTTTTTTTAAACACAGGGTCTTGCTAGCCCATGGTAACTTTGAATTCTTGATCCTCCTGCCTCAGCTTCCTCGGTGCCGGGATTATAGCTACAATCTATCACACCCATCCTCTATCAATTTTTTAATGAAATAGCATAATGTGTTTCTGACATTTTGATGTGGTATTTCAGAGCAAAACTTCTGTACGTTTTGGCTTAAAAAAATTAAAGGATTTGAGCCTTACGTGCTTTTTTCCCCTGCCCTTCTTAAGTAGTACCTTCTGTTACTTAATGTGTTAACCCTTTTCCTACCTAGCCCAGTTCCTCATTCATTCTAAAACCCGTAATACCTGTAGTCTACAAATACGTGTCATGCTGTGTAGCACAACTTACTCGTGAGGTCTTGGGTGTGTTTTGTTTCTAGAACTAGATTTAAATTCTTCAAGATAGTAACTGTGGCTTCATTTTTTAATTCATTAGTGGGATTCTATATTTTTCAATGGTTTCTTCTTAGGTACTCCATTTTCATTTTAACTTATATAGACGGGCATTAAATATTTTTATTATTTACCTTTTAATTTTCTTTTTTTGTTTGTTTGTTTTTGCCTTACTCAGGGTCTAGCATTTTCTAGGCAGATGCTCTACCACTTGAGCCACTCCACCAGCTCTTTTTGCGTTGGTTATTTCTGGAATAGTGTCCCTCTTTATGCCTGGACCACAATCCTATTTGTGCTTCCCAAAGTAACTGGGAAGACAGGCACCACCATTGGTTGAGAATGGGGTAGTTTGAACTTTTTGCTCACACTTTCCTCAAAGTTCCATCCTTCAGATCTCTGTCTCCTAAATAGCTAGGGTGATGGGCTTGAGCCACTGTGCCTGGCCCCATCTTTAATATTTGGTTAGGCAGAATACATCTGTATTTTATAAACAAACCCAGCTCAAGACCAAAAGTAAAAAGGGGAATAAAAGCAAAGACAAAATAAAAGCAAAACCCTAAGTTTGCATTCGGCATTAGGATCAGGTCTGCTTCCTTCCTTAGAGGAAGAGGGGGTACTTTTTGGAGGAGGGCAGTAGTGGGGTTTGAACTCAAGGCATTGGCAGGTGCTCAATTACTTCAGCCACTTTTCCATGCCTTTTTACTTTAGGTATTTTTCAGGTTTTTGCTCAGGCCAGTCTCAGACTGCAGTCCTCCTACGTATGCCTGCCAAGAAGCTGAGATTACAGGAATGTACTACTGCATCTAGCTTATTTGTTGAGAAGGGATTGTGCTAACTTTTTGCCCAGGGTTAACCTAGAACTGCAACACTCCCAATTTCAGCCTCCCCAGGTAGCTGGGATTATAGTTGTTAACTACCACACCCAATCAAACTGGGGATTTCTTTGCCCTTGGATATCAGCATAGGTCCCTATTCCTATTCACCAGAATTTGATGTTAACAGAGAAACATGCTCTGAAATGTTTAGGTGTCTTTGCATAACCCATCTGCCAATGGACTCCACATGCATGGGACTCTGAAGTGCTATTTGCAGAGACCCAAACTAATTTTTTGAGAGAAGTTTCCTTCTCTTTCCAGGAAGTAGCTTACTATCAGTAGTGCAGATGGATCCAAGGTTGTTCTTTTGGTAATCATCAAAGTTGTCTACATTCTAACAGTGGTTGAAACACAAGGTAGAACTTGTTTCCTGTGGAAGCAAGTAGGTTTAGGGTAGTATATGGTTCAGAAGAGACTGTAGCCAGCCACTGAGAAAGCATAACGCAGTAGCCACTTGGGTCTTCAGTTACTCGGCATAAAAATGGCTTTGTTGGGTTAAAGATACATGTGAAGAAATGTGCTGGTGTAAACGTGCACTGCTATCACAGAGAAAGCCCCTGCTCTCCCCCATTAAGCTTGCTTAGGACCAACATGCAAAGCCCCAGGCTGGATGTGCTGCTGGAGAGAACTCTGGGGCTTCTCTGGGCAGCTCTCACACGTGCCACAGCCATGCATCTGTTAGCGCTGGCCAGGTTACCCCTCCCTGACCACCTGCATTGAGGCAGCCACAGACACTTTGGTGGCACATGTGGTAGGATAGTTCTTTCCTTTCCTTCTCTTTTTATTTTCTAGTGTTACAGAAGAAAAGTGGCTTTGAACTATTTCAGTTACAGTCCAGTCCTCAGTTGATTAGCAAAGAAAACTACATGAAAATAACAAACCCAGGTCTTCCAAAGTCATACACATAATCATCAACAGAGGGCTCTGCTTCTCCCATACAGTCATGGCCTCTAAGAAGTTTATATTCACATCACTTTCCTCACCCACCTCTGCCCCAAACTAGTGGAATTTGATGTCAAGGGTAGATCTTCTGATTTTGGGTATGGCTAAAGAAAAATTGGGCAGGTTTCTTTATAAAGAGTTATATGTTCAAAGTGGCATTTAAATAGGATTGTCACAGAAATTCTCTCTGAAGACATAACATTTGAATAAAGTAAATGAAAGTGCCATGGGACATATCTGAGGGAAGGGCATCAAGGGCAGCGGGAGTAGCAGGCCTGAAGGCTCACTTGCACCATGTTCATGCTGTTTGTAGATCGTGCTAAGAGGCGAAAGCTCAGGGAAGAGCGAGCATGGCTGCTAGCTCAAGGCAAGGAATTACCCCCTGAACTTTCTCATCTGGACCCCAGTTCCCCCATGAGGGAAGGAAGAAAACCTAAGGACCTGTGAGTATTTAATAACAGCAGCAACCATAGCAGCAGGCACTGTACTGTGTTTAGCACTTTTCTCATAAAGTCCTTGTAACTGACTTGTGTGGTAGGCAGTGGCTTCACCACTTCAGAACTGAGGGAACAGTTAAGGCACAGGAGTAGGTATTCCATCATGGTTTGATATCCATGTTCTTTGGCATAAACACACAGACTCCCATCTCACAGTCTTGCTTTCATACTGTCAAGAATCACAGTGATGCTTTTCCACAAAGCTCTTGTTATCTATCTCTTTAATTTAATGAAGTCAGCATTGATGATTATTACACAAAATTAAAAGTATGAAGAACATCTTACTGGGTTTTTTTTTGAAAAAGACAGGGTCTTGCTATGTAGCCTAGGCTGGCCTGGAACTCATAATTCTGTGCTTCAGCTTCCTGAGTGCTGAAATTATAGGCATGTACCACCATGCTCAACCAGCATCTTACTCATTTAAAAATAAATGCTTCCAGCCAGGTGTGGTGGTGTGTGCCTGAAATTCTAGTATTGGGAAGGTTAAGGCAAGAGAATCTGGAGTTCAAAGCCAGCCTAGACTACATAGCCAGTTCCACACCAACCAGGGCTACATAGTGAGACTTTTTGTTTTAAAAAGAAAAAGGAATGTGCTGATAAGTAAGTTGTAGAATTACAAAATTCTGAATCATATAGGCTAGCCCCATCATTTTATACATGAAGAAATTGATAGTCCCTTTTTTTAACTAAGGTGGTATACTGTCCTTCATCTTTATATTATTTTCAGGTACTGTTGTTAGTGTTACACACCTGTCTAAACAGAATTAGAAAGGCTCTTCAAAGTTTGCGTGCTGAGGAGAGCTGGTGGTCAGACTTACTGCTAATGTTGTCTTGTTTTGTGATTTACAGCTTTGAGTTGGATGATGACTTCACTGCAATGTATAAAGGTCAGTTTCCATTCTCAGCTATTACGTTTCTGATGGACATCTTGCTGTGACAGATGTTAATTATGTTCTCTTGTTTGGCTCTCAGTTCTAGATGTGGTAAAGGCTCACAAGGATTCTTGGCCCTTCTTAGAACCTGTAGATGAATCATACGCCCCTAACTATTATCAGATTATTAAGGTATCTTTTTATATGTTAATATCTGTTATCTTGCTTATCTCTCATTCCTAAGAATCAGGGTTCCTGAATATGTAACAGGCTGTTAAGCAGTTTGTAATGTCATGATTCTTTTGCCTTATAGGGAAAACATGATGGTTTTGGTTTTTTTTTTTTTTTCCTAGTGCATTTTAATTGAAGGGTTATTTGTCCTATTTTAGATCCCCATGGATATTTCAAGCATGGAGAAGAAGTTGAATGGAGGTTTATACTGTACCAAGGAGGAATTTGTAAATGACATGAAGACTATATTCAGAAATTGTCGAAAATATAATGGGGAAAGTAGTGGTAAGTGAGGAAGGAATTATTGCTGGGTGGTTTTATAATCTGAAGGTAATACCTTATGTTAAAAATACACAACTTAACCTGGGTAGAGTAGTGTACTTCTGGCTGGAGGAGCACTAATTAGAGGCCAACCTGAGTTACATAATGATTTAGAGGCCTAGCCTGTTCTACATAGCAAGACTCTGTTTCAAAAACAAAAAACATGAGAAACAGAACTGTATATTCTAGTAATGCAGTCTGTTCCTTTTTTTGAGACTGGGTCTGACTATGTATAGCCCTCCCAACACCCACATACCACCATTCCTGGTTTCTTCTAAACACAATGTGCACTACACCATGGAACTGGCCGTTCCATGCTCTTAGACAGCATGCGCGCAAGCTTTCTTCTATCCCACAGGACGAGAGAGTACAACTGGAGCCTATCTGGGCTCCACTTCTACCTCATACCATTCAGGTCTCAGTTTACCTGGGTCTGTTTTGTGGAGCTCACTTTTTTCATTTGTTTGTGGTGCTGAGGGTTGGAACCGAAGGCCTTGCATGTGCTAGGCAGGTGCTCTACCATTGAACTGCAACCTCAGACCCCACTGCTGTGTCATCTTGAGAAGTTAGTATTGTAGCTCTCTTGTCAAAGCATAAATGGCCCTAGGTATTGAAACTTTAGGGGGACATTTATGCATTAACACAAAATGCCTTAGTTTAAAATATTTAATGATCTTAGTAATTCAGCCTACATTTTTAGCATTAAACTTCTACCAGTTTGAGGTAATAGTCTCAGTTTGAGGTTGTATGTCTTAGCCATTCAACCTTAAGCAGAAAGATGTGTTCATAGCTCTGTAGTATAATATGCTACTCAGGTAAATGAAATTTGGAGTTTAATTCAGTTGTATATTTATTAATAGAAGTATTGTCTGATAGCTAGCGTAGTGACTCAGTTGGTAGAGCATCTGCCTCACATTTGTGAAACCCTGGTAAATTCAAACCCCAGTATTGCCAAAGGGGGGGGGGGAGAATCTAAGATTTTGTGTCCTATTAAAAACTATACCTGGAGGTCAATCCTTGTATCTTCCTTATAGAGTATACCAAGATGTCTGATAATTTAGAGAGGTGTTTCCATCGGGCAATGATGAAACATTTTCCTGGTGAAGATGGAGACACAGACGAAGAATTTTGGATCCGAGAGGATGAAAAGCGGGAGAAAAAACGGAGTCGGGCTGGGCGAAGTAGTGGAAGCCATGTTTGGACCCGCTCTAGGGACTCTGAAGGACCCAGCAGGAAACAGCCATCAGTAGAAAATGGAGGCAAATCATTGCCCCCTGCACGCCGAGCTGCCTTCTCTGGGGATAATCAGAGCAACAGTTCTGTGCAGCCCCTAAGGGAGGTGGGCACATCAAATGGCCAAGGCTTTTCCCGCCCACTGCACTGTGGTGCGATGCCCAGCCAGGCACCCCTTTTAAATCAGATGGTAAGGAAATGCTCAATTCTGTGGTGATTTTTTTCCAACCTGGTGAACTCATAGGAAAGTAAGGGCTATTGACTTGGCACCCTTTTCAAAATAATTATTATGTGGATGATTTCTTTTCCCTCAGTGATCCTCCATTTATTTCATGTCTTCATATTTCTTAGTTATTTGAATCATGTATTCCTTTTTTTTTTCTTTTTTTCAGGGCACGCACTGTACCACCTTAGCCATTCTGCCAGCCCTGAATCATGTATTCTCAGTGTGAGCAAAAATTGGGATTTAGCCAGATATCCATGGCTCAAGCCTATAATCCTAGGTACTCAGGAGAATTGAGGTTCAAAGCCAGTCCAGGCAAATAGTTTGTGAAATCCTGTCTCAAAAATACCAACATGAAAAAGGCCTGAAGGAGTGGATCATGTGGTAGAATGCCTGCCTAGCGAGTGTGAACTGAGTTCAAGCCCCAGTACTGCCAAAAAATGGGGTGGGGGGAGTTAACAAAAGACCAGGCACAGTGTGGCATATGTGTATCTGTACTTCCGACTACTTAGGAAGTGGGGGCAGAATTGTTTGAGCCTAGGAGTTCCAGACCTGCTTGGGCAACACAGCAATTCTCAAAAAGAAAAAAAGAGTTACTCTTTTTTTAAAGCACATAAAATACAGTGCATAAGGCACAAAGTGTACCTGTGTATCAAAATTTCGTGGCAGAAGTGGTTCAAGTGGTGGTGTGTGGCCTTGAGTTCAAACCCCAGTACTGCCCCTCCAAACCTAAAGAAAAATTTCATGGTCAAGTGCAGTTGGGGACAGAATGCCTAAGTTTCTATCTGGTGTGGGAAAGGTGATTTTAAGAAAGATGGGGGAAACTTCATGCCAATTTTGTCTCTCTTGGAGAGTGAAGTGAAGCTGCTTTAAGATCGGGGACTAGTCCTGATCAAGGGGAGCACATTGCCATCAGTCTTTCGTGCTGCCTTGTTCTCTCCCAGATAGCTATGTCTTTTCACTTTCTCGCCTTCCTTTACACAGCATGTCCAGAGGCCAGCAGTACCTGGGACATTTGGCCCTCTTCAAGGGTCAGAACCCACCAACTTCTATGGTTCCTCTCGAGTTCCAGAAGTACCCCAAGGAGATCCCATACAGCAGCAGCCCCCTTTTGCCATGCAGGTGAGCAGCCTGCAGAATACACAACTGGGAAGAGTCTCCCAGACATGGTTCAGAAATGCACTCTCAGGCTGGAGGTGTGGGTCAAGCATTAGAGCACCTGTCTAGTAAGTACAAAGTCCTGAGTTTAGTCCGGGACCTCTGCCCACCACCCCCAAAAATTGGAAAAAACAGTCTCTTCCCAGTGGGTGAGGTATGTTACAAGGGTACACTTTGTTCTGTGAATCTGGTTAACTCTACTTTCTTTTCTGTTGCAAGCCTCCACTTGGAATTACCAACCACCAAGGAACCCCCCTTAGTACTCCCGAGGAGAAGCAGATGTGTGGGGGACTGACGCACCTTTCCAACATGAGATCACATCCCCCGTCCTTGCAACTTGGGCAGATGAGTGCCCCCAGTCAGGATGGAAACATGTATCCCCCAGCTCCTTTCCAACCAGGATTTATTCCTTCAAGGCATGGTGGGCCTCCATCCCGACCCCCAGACTTTCCTGAAAGCTCAGAAATTCCTCCCAGCCACATGTATCGATCGTACAAGTACCTAAATCGAGTGCACTCTGCTGTCTGGAATGGAAACCATGGTGCTGCAAACCCAGGACCCTTGGGGCCAGATGAGAAGCCCCACCTGGGGCCAGGGCCCTCTCACCAGCCTCATGCACTTGGTCATGTGATGGATGTACGAGTGATGAGACCACCTATTCCTCCAAATCAGTGGACTAAGCAGTCAAGCTTTCTACCTCATGGAGTTCCTTCCTCAGGGTATATCCGGCCACCCTGTAAATCTTCTGGACATCGATTGCAGCCACCTCCAGCCCCTGCACCAAGCCCTCTATTTGGAGGGCCTTCCCAGACCCTACGGGGGGTGCAAGGAGGGGACTCCATGATGGACAGCCCTGAGATGATTGCCATGCAGCAACTCTCATCCCGTGTCTGCCCCCCAGGTGTGCCTTACCACCCCCACCAGCCTGCTCCTTCCCAGGTACCTGGCCCTTTTTCACAAGTAGCTCATTCAGCATCAGTAAGTGTGTCAGCTCCCAAGCCTGCCTTGGGCAACCCTGGAAGGACATCGGATATCAGTGAAACACAAGAGCCTGAAAACGACCAAGGTAGTTTACTTTGTTTTTTTTATGATTTTTGGTTCTTATTAAAGGTATTAAGCCACTTGTAAACTGGTTTGCAGCCTGTCTTTCCTGAACTATTCAACCTTGGGCAAGTTGAGTACTTCTTTTGGTTTCAAGATCTCAGAGCACAATAATAATGGTTGCTATATAAAGGGCCACTTCGTGCGTGAGGCGTTCTTAAAGAGATTTGTTTTTCTTGGGATTGGGGTTTGAACTCAGGGCTTTAAACTTGCAAAGCAGGCACTCTTCCCTTTGAGCCACACCTTCAGTCCAGTTAGCTCTGCTTATTTTGGAGATGAGTCTTGGGAACTATTTGCCCTGGCCTTGAGCCATGATTCTCGCATTGTCAGCCTCCCAAGTAGCTAGGATTACAGGCATGAACCACTGGCACCTGGCATGAGATTTTTATATAAACTTGCATGATTCTCAGAACATGCCTTTGCAATAGCTACTGTCAATATCCTTGTTTTTACAGGTGGGAAGCCCAAGGCTCAGAAATCTTTGCTTTTATTTGGGTAGAAAGTGGTGAGGCAGAGCTCTGAGCAAGATGAGCATCCATGTTACTAACTGTCGTGTCCTCACCTGACTTCCAAACATGACCGTCTTGAAATAAGCTTGTAGTGTGTAATTATTTTTATCCCAGTTCTTGGATACATATTTAGTAAGTTTGAAGAATACTGAATTTGAGCAAAGTTTAAAGCAGTTTCTTAGCAAAAACCAGAGGAGAAAGATGAAAAGAATCCTTTGTATCATGCTTACTTCTAGGGTAGGTGGCTAGAATATATTGTGTATATCTTTCTTCATTGCATGACTGGATAATGGAGACACTGCGCTTTTATAAAAGATGATAAAAATTCTATATGAAATGAATGCCAGGCCTAGAACACTGAGTGTTTCATTTTGGAAAAGGCCCACTTTGTGAGCAACATCCCTCACAGAATTTTCTAATAATGGTTTCAGATAGTGCCTACAATTCAGAGGTCTGGGATAAGTCCCATTCAGTCATTTAAAACCGTTGTATCTTGACATCTTAAATAAATCTGTTCACTAGCTGTCAAGCATTTAGATGTTGAAAAGTATTATTTTTTATTTTTATTACAGCTTGTTCTTTTGATCTTTATGGCCATCTTTAGTTACAGGTAGCCCGAGATATTTTAGTAGTTCTGTAAAAGTTGTTAGGAAGACAGCAGCGCTGGTGGCTTCCACCTCTAATCCTAGCTACTTGGGAGGCTGAGATTGTGAGGATCAAGGTTTGAAGCCATTCTAGGCTAATAGTTCATGAGACCCTATCTCCAAAATAGCCACAGCAAAATGAACTGGAGTCATGTCTCAAGTGATAGAAACCCTGAGTTCAAACCCCACGTCCACCAAAACAAACAAAAATCCCTGAAAGTGGCTCTTGGTATAGCAATCACTATTGTGCTCTGAAATCTTTAGACCAAAAGAAGTACCTCAGCCTGAGGTGTCCCTCCTCACCACCACCCCCCACCAAAAAAAAAAAAGACATGAAACTATTGTTGTTTGGGAACACTGGGGTTTGAACCTCAGGGCCTTACACTTGCTAGGTAAGCATTCTTACCACTTGAGCCACCCTGCTAGCCCTTTTGTTCTGTGATGGGTTCTTTTAAGATAGGGTCTTGAGAACTATTTGCTGGGGGCTGGTTTTGAACCGAGATCCTCCTGGTATCTGCCTCCCAGCTAAACCTTTAATCTTATCCTCAAGGTCTGTTACCAGATTCAGATTTTGATCAAACTTGGATAACCCTGTCCTTCTAGAAATATAAGTAAACAGGTTATAGTGTACACATGTAAAACACCCATAGTAACGGGTTGATACTGTAGTGAGCTAAAGACTCTTGAGATTGTACTCATATCTTTGAGCCTTGTAAGTGAATTTGATTCTTACTTTTAAACTTCTGTAATGATTGAACACAGTACACACCTGTAATGCTAGTAAATGCCAGCTCTTGTAAGACATAGTTAGGAGGATCTCAACTTGGAGGCCAGCCTAGGCTATATAGCAAGACCTTGTTTCAAAAAACAATACTACAAGGCAATGTGTAATATGCTGAATTTGCCCTCTTGGTGTAGGCTTCTTGTTTAAAAATTCCCCAGCTAGGGCTAGAGGTATGGCTCAGTAGTGGAGCAAGTCCTTAGCATATGCTAGGTTCCAGCCCAGCTTGGAGCAGGAGGCTTTTAAATAATATGAATAAATTTGCTGGGTGCTAGTCATTCATGTCTGTAATCCTAGCTATTCAGGAGGATCGGAGTTTAAAGCTAGCCCGGGATAAATAGTTCACAGGACCCTATCTCAAAAAAAAAACATCACAAAAAAGGGTTGGTGTGAATTCAGAGCCCAGCAGCGTACATAAATAAATAAATAAATTCATTCATTCATTCAGTCATTCATTCGTTCACAGATTCTGGTTTCGTCTGCATTTGGGCAGTACTGAGAGCAGGTTTGGAAACCTTCCTGCTCCTGTGGAGCTTTTGTTCTGATGTAGTGGAGTCAGGCTCTGGGCCTTCTCACAGCCTGAGTTTTCAGAGTTTCCCTGCCTGGGCAGCAATTCTCATGACAGCCACATTCTCCTGCCATATTTCCTTTGCATCTACCTGTAGTCTGTGAGCTGTGAATCATGTCTTAGTCTCTTTCTAATCTGACTGATAGCACAGATGAAGGCCCAGACCTTTCTATTCTTAGGCAGACCTCAGGGGATAGCTATAGAGATGCTAGGTTCTATCTGTAGATCCACAAAACATAGTATATTGCCCCAACATTATGGCTCCTTTCAAGGACTCACAGTATCTAGCTGAGACTTGAAGCACTGGATGTTACCTCAGCCCTGACCCTCTTCATCTGACTGTTGTCCTGCTGTTTCCATCACCACTTCTGTTAATGTTTCAGCTACTGAGTTATTATTTTATTCTTTTTTGTTGTTATCTTTCAGCAGAGCCTTTGTCTGGGCTTGAAGAGAAACCAGCAAGCATTGGTGCCTCAGAGGGAATATACCTCAAACAGCTACCTCATCCTACACCTCCCCTGCAGGCTGACTGCACCAGGCAGAGCTCATCACGAGAAAGGGAAGCAGAGGACCCAGAACTCAAAGGTGACTCTTTAGAAGCTGCAGACAACTGTAAAACAGCAAAGAGCAAGAACACCTGGCCCTTGGACAGTAGCTACACCAGCCCAGCTGCCCAAGGCTGTATGAGAGACCTCTCTGTTGGTGCAGACAGAGGAGCTCTACCTGAAAATGGTGTCATTGGTGAAGCATCTCCTTGTGAGTCAGAGGGGACGGGTCTTGGTGGCAGCAGTTCAGGAAAACCGCTCTGCCCCAGAAGCAAAACATTACAGGAGTCCTTGCCGTGCACAGGACAGAATGCAACCACTCCTCCCTGTGCAGACCGCAGTTTGGTGGCAGGCACTATGAGCCAGTTTCCTCCAGTGTACATGTCTGGCTTGGAGTACTCTAACTCATCTCCACATTACCTCGTCAATCCAGGCCTGCAAGGCCTGGGGCCTGCTGCGATGGGAGGGAAGTCCTCAGTATCATATCCTCAGCCTTTCCCTGCAAGGGGCTTTCAGTCCAGCAGTCCTCATCCCTCCGTCTTTCCCCGGTACCGTGCCCACCAAGGAATGAGGTACTCCTACCAACCACCACCTCAGCCTTCCTACCATCACTATCAGCGGACTCCTTATTACACATGTCCACAAGGCTTTTCTAACTGGCAGAGACCTCTTCATCCCCAAGGAAGCCCAAGTGGGCCCCCAGCAAGTCATCCTCCACCCCCAAGACCTCTCTTCTCAGATAAGAATGCCATGGCTAATCTGCAGGGCTGTGAGACACTGAATGCTGCCTTAACTTCCCCATCTCATGTGGATGCAGTGGCTGCTAAAGTTGTCCCGACTGATGGGCAGAATCCTGGTCCAGAGGAAGAAAAGCTGGATGAATCTATGGAGAGGCCAGAGAGTCCCAAAGAATTTTTAGATCTGGACAACCATAATGCAGCTACCAAGCGGCAGAGTTCTCTGTCAGCCAACGACTATCTTTATGGAACTCCTCCAACTCTGAGTTCAGGGATGGGTTTTGGTTCCCCTGCTTTCCCACCCCATGGTGTGATGCTACAGTCAGGTCCTCCTTATACTCCTCAACAGCCAAGCAGTCATTTTCAGCCCAGGGTGTACTCTTCACCTGCAGCTGCTCACCCATCTCACCGAACTATGGCTGCTCAGCCAAATGGCCTGTCTCAGGAGAGCCCCCTCTACCGCTGTCAGGAAGAGGGTGTGGGGCACTTTCAAGCTGTGATGATGGAGCAGATGGGTACTGGAAGTGGAATGAGGGGGCCTTTCCAGGAATTGTATGCAACACCAGGGTAAGATAGTATTTGTTTACTTTTGGTTTTGTTTTCTCTGAAAAAATACCAGTTTTAAAAAAGAAAAATGGCCTTAGGAACGGAGATAAATTCTTTTGGTCTAGAACCAAGAAAACTATGTGAGTTGTTGATCTTATCTTTGACAGTTTTTACGCCCTCATGAAAATGTCATTTAGCTCTTTTTTCAATTGTTTTGTTTGTTTTTTGATACAGAGTCTCAATGTGTAGGTCGGACTGGCCTGTACTCAATATGTAGTCCAGGCTGGTCTCAAACTCAAGATTGTCCTTCTACCTCCCAAATGCTGACATTACAGGCATAGCCTCCATACCTGGTTCTCCAGTTTAACATTTTGTAACATATTTGCTTTTTATGTCTCTAAATATCTGTACATCTGAGAATGAAAACATTGTCCTGCAGTAAAATCTCAAAACTGATACCACACCTTCTAGACACGATGTTGCTAAGATACAGTCCTTACTTCAATTCCCTTGTCCATGAAGTGTCTTTTTTTAGAGCCACATTTTTAGTTTTCATTTCTTTTCAGTTGTTTCTGATCTAGAATCCAAGATTCTTTTTAAAAATTTTTTTTTAAATTTTTGTTTGTCCATTTAGTCTGTAAACTTGATAAAATAATCATCGTCTCTTTGTTTTGTTTTTCAAAGAGTCCAAGCCAGTTCTTCTCTAAATTCTGGATTTGGCTCATTGTTTCCTCCCGTTAGATTCTTTCCTGCCCATGGTTTTTGTCCTGTGCTTCCTGTTGCATTACATTGAAGCCACACAATGCCATTTGGTCTCCATATTGATAATTCTTACTTGAGTCTGCTGAATAGTTAAGGCAGTTTCTTCATGACAAAAATATGTTTGGTAAATTATATTTCTCCATTCAGGCAGCATCAGTGGCTCATGCCTGTAAGCCTAGCTACTTGAGAGGCAAAGATTAGGAGAATTTAGGCTTAAAGCCAACCCAGCCAAATAGTTTGGAAGACCCCATTTCCAGAATGGAATGGAGTTGTGTCTCAAACAGTAGAATAGACATGAAACCCTAAGTTCAAATGCCAGTCACATTTAAAAAAAGAAAAAAAAACAAAACAAAAACAGGTACCAGTGCACAAGAGGCTCACGCCTATAATCCTAGCTACTTGGGAGGCAGAGATCAAGAAGATCACCATTCATAGTCAGCCTGGGCAAATAGTTCATGAGACCCTATCTCAGAAAAATCTAACACACAAAAAAAATAGGGCAGGTAGAGTGGTTCAAGTGGTAAAGTGCCTACTTAGAAAGTATGAGGCCTTGAGTTCAAACCCCAGTAATGCAGAGAGGGGGAAAAAAAAAGTCTTCATTCATTCTTAAATGTTTCTTTTGTTCTGCTATAGAATACACATGCATCCAATCCAGCCACAGCCCTCATTCCCAAAGACCTCAGCACCAGCAGCATCACCAGAACAGCTGCCTCCACATAAGCCCCCAACGCTTCCTCTGGATCAGGTAAAACTTACCAAAACTAGAGTGTTTACTGTTCCTCCAGGTGTAGGAGATAATGCAAATGTTTCCCTTCTCTGAAATCCTTGGGACTCCATATGTTTGAGATTTTAGAATATTTACATAGACTTTACCAATTGGGTATGCCCAGTCTAAAAACCTGAAACACTCAAAAATGTGAAGTTGTTTATTTATTTACCTACTTACTTTTTTTGCAATACTTGGGACTTGAACAAAAAAAAGTGAAATTAATAGGGCGCTGGTAGCTTATGCCTGTAATCCTAGCTACTCAGTAGGAGGCAGAGATCAGGAGGATTGTGGATCAAAACAAGCCTGGGCAAATAGTTTCTAAGACCCTATCTGAAAAACAACCCATCACAAAAAAGGGCTGTGGAGTGGCTTAAGGTGTAAGACAGAGTTCAAAGTCCTGTACTGAAAAAAAAAAAAAAAAAAGTGAAGCTTCTTTTGTGTGTTGAGTTAGGGTTCAAAAAGTTTTAGATCTTAGATTGGAGATACAGCTCAGTGGTAGAAAACAAAACAAGAAAAAATTTGACACTCAGAGCATTTTGGATTAAGGTTGTTTAATCTATACCTGACCTCTTCACTATTCTGAGAGTTAGTTGTTAGTTTTAGTGGAGGCAGGCAAGGTTTTGTTTTTTGTTTTTTTGTAATGCTAGAGGTCAAACCAAGGGCCTTGTGAAGTCTAGGCAAGAGCTCTACTACTCGCCTACATCCCAGCCTGTGAGAAAATATTTTAAGGAATGCTGTTAATGTACCTTAAAAAGTACTTCATATACTTCAGGCAACCAAGTAAAATAAGTTATTCAGTCCTCATCAATCCTGGCATTGAGGCCTTGGAAACAGAGGAGTCACTGTTTTTGCCGTGGGCTCCTTTTTCCTAGTCTTGCTTGTGTGGCAGCCAGCTCTTTAAGGACTAGTTACTTAAGCTTCATTGTTTTTCCCCTCAAACTGTCCATCCCCATTTCTTTTTTCACAGCTTTTTTCTGCTTACCCTTCCCATCTGTATTTGAGACTAGAATAATAGTGACTTTTTGGGGGTGAGCACTGGGATTTGAACTCAGGGCCTTATGCTTGCTTTACTACTTGAGCCACTCCACCCATCCTGTTTGTATTGGTATTTTCGAGATAGGGTCTCATGAACTATTTGCACAGACTGGCTTCCAACCACCATCTTTCTCTCTGCCTCCTGAGTAACTAGGATTACAGGCGTGAGCCACCGGTACCTGGCTAGTAGGTACCTTTGCTTGCTGCTCCTCTTCTGGGCACTGGGGCCGATGCTATCTCTTTGTTTCTTCTTCAACCCCATGAAGAAGCTATAAAGCAGTGGGGCTGGAGTCCAAACCAGGTTCAGGACTGGAAAGTAAACTGTGGCTGTGAAGTCAATCATGTACAGCTCTTTGATTTGTTTTTTTTTTTAAATCTATCTATCTGTTTATTTTTACTGTGCTCAGATTACATTGTGGTATTTACAAAAGCTTTTACAATATATCAAATATATCATACTTGAATTCACCCCCTCCATCATTCTCCTTTATTCCCCCTCCCCCCATTTGTGGAATAGTCTTAACTAGTCCTAGTTTTCCATTTACATATATGTGTACACAGAATTTTTACCACATTTACTGTCCTACACCCTTTCTCCACATCCTCTCCCCTCTCACTGGAACCAACTCCCCAGACAGGACCTGTTCTTCCCTCCTGTTCTTCAATTTTGTAAAAGGAAAAAAAGACATTTTTGTTTGTTTAAGATAGCGTATGTTACTTTTTTTTTAAATAGTTCTACTGGGATTTGAACTCAGGGCCTATGCCTTTAGCCACTACACCATCCCTTTTTTTTGTGTTGGATATTTTTGAGATAGGGTCTCATGCTGTTTCCCCAGGCTGACTTCGATCCTCAGCCCTCCTGATCTTTGCCTCCTGAGTAGCTAGGATTATGGGCATGAGTCACCAGTGCCCAGCATTAGACCTTTTTTAAAGAAAGAGATGGGGTGGGGGTAGGGGTGGAAATCAACACAATTTTAATTTTGTCGTTATTGTTGTTGAAACTGCCTTTATTCTGTTTCTTCTTCCCAGAGCTAGTCCAAGGAGGAAATAATCCCCAAGGAAATGAAAAGCTGCACATGAAGACCCTACATGGAGGATTTGGAGGGGCTGTCTCTGTCCCCAGTCACCCTGCTTCGCCCCTTCAAGTCAATCACACATGCTACCAGGAGCTGGAGCCATTCCCAAGCCTCTTAAGCACACTCTGTAGAAGACTGACACACAGCAGCAGAGGTCCTGGGTGAGGGATCACTTGCAACAGCTGACAGTCAGCAAGAAAGACAAATGAACCTGGAGTTCATGCTGACTTCTCCCAAATCCTGAGACTCTCATTCAGGGAAAATCACTTTCAGCTTGGGTGGGGGCACATACAAGGATGGAGTGGTGCTTTTAAACTTTCATGAGCAGCTAATCTCAGGTATATATTTGGGGAAGGGACTACTTGTAGTATTAATAAGTTTTGGAGCTGGGTCCAGTTTACAGAATTTTCATGTTGCCTTTTAAAGTAATTTTTGTTGGTGGTGAATGTATTGTACATAGTGGGAAGGGTGGGTGGGGATGTGGAAGAGATGGAGTCCTAACTGGTAGGCACACAGCACTGGAATGGTCTCTGTCTGTTTACAATCATATCACACTGAATGCTTTTGGAAGCTTGGAGAAGACAGTCGGAAAGGTTCGTTTTGTCCAGTGTCACTGTCTCTGTGTCCTTAGTGGCTGTCCAGCCTTGAGCAGATAAAGGTCTCCCTTTGGGTCAGCGTCACAGAGTACAGATGTACCTGTCCCCTCACTGTTCATCTCTTAGTTCAGAGGCAGTGTTCTTATGTGGCCCCCTGGAAGCTTCAGCCCAAAAGATAGGCTGCAATCACTCTGTTGGTCCCAAGTCCTGGACTTGGGAAGAGATGTCCCTTCCTGATTTTTTTCCTCCAGTCCTACCTGTTGTGAACCATTATCAGGATTTGGGCTCACTAGAGTGTTTTCACTTACTAGAGGATAAAATGGCTTCTTCACAGGTCTATTGGACTGTGATCTAGAAGGCATCACACAAAGCTTTCTGGCACGAATCACATTTTGTGAAAGTGACTACTCAGGTTTGTATGTTAGTCTCAATAAAGAAATTGCACAGGTTTGAATAAGAAAAATGTATTCTATAGATTGACAGTTTGAATTTAGGTATATTTCAGTATAAATAGTTTTTATTCACTTTATGTGAATCATAGTTTAATCAGTCATGGTGATTTAAAATAGCTATCAAGTTTATGTTCTTGGAAATCATTTGTCGTATCTGTGATAGGAAACAGTTTTGCAGTATTAAATTTATTATGGATTTAGAAGTGAATTACACTGGATTCTTCCTGTTTAGCATTCTGTATTTTATTTTAGCTGAGATGTCACCAAAGTTAGGATCCATGTTTAAACTTTTGAATATACCACAAAGAAAGAATAAACTAAGGAAAACGTCCTGAAATTACAGGTCTTTGTAAAGAGTAGCATATTTCGAAGCATGCTTTTGGGGTAGTAGAAAAGTCTCCATAAAATACTAATTTGCCCAAGTTCCTTATAAATGTAACTGTGGGCATGGTCAGTAGGACATTTTCTCTCCAGTTCCAGCATCCTTAACAAATGTTGAACTGGTAACTCCAGCATGGTGGTGCACCACTGTAATCCCAGAACATGGGAGGCTGAGGCAGGAGTGAGTTGGAGGCCATCTTTAAAAAAAAACTAAACCAACAAATATGGCACTGTTGTGTTTAGTCTGCTAAATGTCCAATCAGAGGGGAAGGAAACAGATTGGAAACATCCAGGTTATAGAAAAGGATCCCAAAACACAAGTTCTCCCATATATTGGAAACTCGTACCAGGAATTAAATGCTTACTAACCTGGTGGTGTTGCCAAGGACCCAGGCAGAGTTAAGAGGGCAGGGAACATAGGGTCTTCCTATGGTGCATAAAAACATAAGAGTTTTCTCCAGTCTTTCATTTTAAATTTGGTATGTTTGCACACCAGTAGAGTCATGAGACTGAGTCCTCATTTGATCCTAAATCTTGTCAGAAACTTATCACTGGCACAGTGTGGTTTAGAAGGATAGCGGGTCTGCTCTTTAGCTAGTGTGCACTAACATTGTGGTTGGAGGAGGAAGCAGCTGGTTAGATCTGGTTTGGGCTCAAGGCATTCTACCCCAGATAGTGAGAGATCTCTTAACTTTTTCCCTCTCCCATGGTGCTAATCTGTAAAGATTGCATGCACACTGCTCACTCTGGCTCCCCACCACCACCTACCTTTTGCTACAGAGATGCTGTGAACAGTATAGGGCAAAATCATTAATCTCCTTTTTTTTTTTTTTGGTATATAGGCAAATGAGAAAACATTAACGAAAAGCAATAGGAAATTGAACTACTACTACTGTATTAAGTTATAACACTGTGAGCAAGAGCAATAGCAAAATGGTCAGCCTTGTAGCATACTTTGTGGGAATTTGGTCATACATTACAGGGCCTAGTGCTTCATCCCCCATCTGGTCTTTGAAATACAGATCTGCTAAAAACTGCCTGGAGCTGCCAGAATGCAGGTCCACACATGACCTTGAACTGCTGTGAACCCCTCATCCATTCACCCCTAAGCAGGATCTTTTGTTCTCACCTGTGTTCCTCCTCTAGCACTTCTCTTTCCAAGTGTCTTAAGCAGATGCAAATGCATTTGCCACCTTATCCAGTAGGGAAATGATGGTTATGAGATATGTAATAATTAGAAAGTAGTATATAAAGATGTCTTCAAAGGTTTGCTTTCAGGCTAGAAGGGAAGGCTACTTCATCCTGTAGGTCACTGTCATTTTGCCAGCATACTGGCTGTCAGTGGTCTCCAGGACAATATAGCTGATATTGAAATAATTGGAAGCACCCTCCTTGCTATTTGATTTAACATTCAAATCTTACCTTTATTAGGCTTGTTAATAACTTAAAAAATTTCTCCAAGGCCCTAAGAGAAATAAAAATCCAGAAAGAAAAATAGAACCTTTTAGGAGGTTTCTGAGTTTGTTTGTTTGTTTCCCCCCTTCCTCTTAAGTCTGTTCATTATAAAAGTAGCAACCAGACACTGGCTCATGCCTGAAATCCTAGCTACTTGGGAGGCTGAGGTGGGAAGAATTGTGGTTCAAGGCAGCCCTGGCAGATGGTTCAAGAGACCCCATCTCTAAAATAACCAGAGCAAAATAGTCTGGAGGTGTGGCTCAAGGACAGAATACACAGGATTCTTATTAATTTGACTTTTTCTATTACTATTATTATTCTTAAAACTAAAGCTGCTTTATTCTGGTAGTGCACATGAGCTTATTTATCAGGACTTGTATTCTAACCTCGTCCAGCCCAGGCTGCTGTCAAAAGGCAAACTCTCATACTCATGCTCATCCTTATTAAACTGTGGAAAACCTTAAGGCCTTTGATTTGGTCTCTGCCCCTCAGTTCAGTCAAACTTGGCTTTTAAAGTAGCCTTCCCTGTGAAAGTGCTTATCTGGACTAACAATATGGTGTCCTTGTCCTGGGGTATTTATCTGATGTATGGTTATTATTTAAGCTGATTCCTACCAGCATCGAAGGGTGTGCTAAATGCTAGCCCCAGCGTACAATCCCAGTGTCCCATCACCACAGTTGCTACAAACAAGCCTTCAAGTCATACCATTCAGATGGACTTTTTCTTTTCTAATGGAAGTTAAAATCTACAAATAATGTACTGCTTTTAAGACATAATTTGAGATTTCATAGGAAGGCTTGTCCCAAGGTAAGGACATGCTCTGGACAACTTCAGTTGGTTTTCCAGCATTTACCTGGCTCTGTCAGTTCACCCTAGTCAGGTTCTTCATGGACGCCAGTTGTGGAATGGGCCTCATACATCAGTGAATCACATGGTGTTAGATGTGGCATCTCTGCAGGTGGCTCCTTTTGCATCACAACTTCAGCTTCGGCAGGCATTTGGTTAGAGCGTGCAGAGGTGTTCATTCCTGGGCTCATTTCACTGTCTTGGAGCTAGGAATGATGGGGACTTTAGAGTGAGAAGACTCTGAGGTCCTTTTTCTGGTGGGTTGGGCCCTACCATGCAGCTTTAGGCCCAGACTTGAGCCTTGCTTTCTTCCCTTGGGAAGGTAGAGTTGGGTTGAGCTTTGTTGCATCCCAGCTGTCACAAGGTTTGTCTCAGGGCTAAGTACCCAACCCTCTGTTCTAACTAGACACACGTGTACAGGAGCTGTCCCCGGTGTGGGTCAAACTTTTTCCCTAGACACTCAGTGTCTCTCTTGGTCATTCTGACTTAACTCTAAAGTAGAAATGCCTGGTAACCAGGTGATTGTCCTGCATGTGGTTCTGGAAAGGTTGGGTGGGGTGGGATAACAAGAGTGTGAATATTGAGTAAAGTAATTGAAATGCTGGCCCCTGGTTTATAATCTCTGTGGCCCCTTTTCCAGGGAGGAGGGTACCTCACTCACCTGCCTTATATATAGCTCTTGGGAGCCCCCGCCAGGCTCCGTCCGGCTGCACACACACAGCATGTGGCACTTGGCCCCTGCTGCAAAAGCCCTGTGAACTTTCCTGGCCAGTAATGGAAAGGGGAATGCTATTTATTTTTATATTGTGTATATTTTGTCTTGGTCTGCTGATTCCCTGTTTCACCGAGAGCGACACTTACCTCAATAGTTAGTTCAATATTGTGTGTTGGATGATTTTTTTAAAGAACTTTTTAAAAAGCTTTTTGATTCTCAGAGGTCTGTAGAATTATTTCCATATGAATTGGTTATTTTGTATAAAGTACATTCTTAAAATAGCAAGGTTCTGTATGCCTGGTGTGTGTCCATGTGTCACTTTCATCATCAGGACAAACTCAGACTCCCATGAGGACAGAGGTTTGAACTAAACCATGATGCCATCACCTGAAAGTGCCATCTCCCATCTCAATTCTGATTTGCCAAGGACCTCTAAGGGCTGGCCTTGGTGGCACACATCTGTAATTCCAGGAAGGAAGAAGCAGAAAGATCCAGAATTACAGGCCAGCCTGGACTACATAGCAAATTCAAGGCCAGCCTAAACTAAAAAATGATATTATACCTCAATAAAAGTATGCCTGATGCAGGTGACAGTGCTACAAGGACTTTCAGAGCTTCAAACCTAATGAAACCCTCACGCCTGTAATCCTAGCTACTCAAGAGGCAGATATCAGGAGGACTGAAGTTAAAAGCCAGCCTAGGCAAATAGTTTGCGAGACCCCGTCTCAGAAAAACCCATCACAAAAAGTACTGGTGGAGTGGCTCAAGGTATATGCCCTGAATTCAAATCCCAGTACCACAAAAAAAAAAGTGGGGGGAAAGAAACTAATAAAACCGTGTTAGAAACAAAATACTTTTCATGGCTAGTCTTACCAAAACCCATCTCAGCCATCATCCACCACACTCACCACCCTGGGGGTTAGGGGGAATTGTGTCCATCCATAAGTACTACACTAACTGTTCTTCCAGAACCTTGGGTGGGCAGGCCAGGC